GCTTTGTAAGTTTTGATTTTTTATGTTTTTAGTTTTTTACTTTCCCTGTTTACTTTTTGCTTATTTTTTGTTTAATTTTTACTAGTTTTTTTTTTTTTTTTTTGTACTTTTGCTTTGTTTATAGGGACTTGTTTCTATAGTTACAAAAAGATTAAAACTTTGTTATGTTTTTTGTTATGTGTTAAATATTTTTTAACTTTCTTTATCTACATGTAGTTATTTGTCTTTTTTGTATAAATTTTTTGTTTTTTTAAACCTATTTTTGATTTTCAGGTTAATGTCAATTTGTGAAAATACTTTGCCATCACTTGTGCAGTTGATTGAAATTCGTGTTGGAAAATATAAGTACATAAGTAGACAAATATTGCAAACAAGCGCTAAATTTATACAGCAGACAATAGAAAATGGTTTTATTCAAAGAAGCAAAGAAAATTTGTATGAGATTTATTTCTTTATTTATGTATATTTCTATAATGTTTATTTTTGTTAATTCTTGAATGTATTATTTTTTATATGTTGCAGTGATGGACAGTTGTTTTCTGAATATACAGCGATTATGGATTCCATGACACAATGTCCAAGGTATCCTTATCTTGTTTCTTTTCTGCTAATTGGCTCTGGTTTAAAGTTATTTAAGTTTGTTATATTTTTGACATAAGAAACATTCTATTTTCATGACATGAAAATAGAATTGTCCAACTTTTACATTGTAAAAGTTGGACAAAAAAGTTGTAACTCCATCTAAAAGCAGAACATAAAAATTATCTACATACTCAGACTTTTCTCAAATTTAAATCAGTGGTATCTGTCAACAAAACACAAAAAAAAATTCAATTTTTGAACTTTTAACTGTAAACAGTTTAGAAGTTTAAATTTATTAAGTTTAAGTTTGTTGTTTATTTATAATTAATGTTTATTTATAATTTAAGTGGAGGAAAATCAGCCCTTAATTTTAATGGTGAATTAAAAAAAATAATTCATTTTGTATTTTTTAATTATTTAGATATTTTTTAGTGTGTTATCATGAGAAGTTTCGATGGCAACATTTGCTATCTTGGTCACTGTATATTTTTTTAAATTTATAATTTAAAAAAAAAGAATTAATTATAAAATTTTTAATTCAAAAATTTTATAATTTATAATATTTATAATTTTAAAAAAATTATAAATATTATTAATTATAAAATTTTTATCATTTACAAAAATAAAAACTACTCTAAGGCACAAAAAGCTTATGCTGTTCCTAAAGGAAATTTTTTTTTCTTAATTTTAATTTTTTGTTCATAATTAGTTAAGAAATCAATGTTCTAAACTGTATTTATTTTTATTATCCTTTATATTATATATTTTATTTTGGATCCTTATACACAGTATACTAGAATTTGGAGTAACATATGTGCTTTTTACAAAATTAGCAAAGGAATTAGAAAAAATCAATGCCATATGCATTATTTAAAAAAAAATAGTTACAGCTACTGCTGTCAATACAACTGTTGCAGTTCAAATCAGCTGCGGGTTTCAAAATCAAATAGTTGTAAATATTTTACCTTAACAGATAGGACCATCTATAAAACAATCTGGAATTTTTATTTTTGTTATGAGGTTGCTTACATAAAATAAGATTTCTTTTAAAAATAAATCTGCAAGCAATTTAGTAGCAAATTTTTTAAAAAAAGGTAATTTGTAGAGCTCCATGGACATGGACAGTTGATGAAGAGTTCATGTCAAGTAAAAGAAAAGATTCTAATATAGATATTTTTATTAATATAATAAAATATTAAATAAAAATATAGATATTATTAATATATATTTTAAATTGTGGAATGTAAATGATTATAAAAGATAAAAGTAATAAATTTATTTAGTTTTTTAAAAATTAAATTTCAAAATAATTTAATCCTACTGTTTTAGTCCTGCCTGTGGAACTAAAATTAAACATTATTAATAAAATATAATATAATAAAATATGTCTAACATAAATACAGATAAAAACATTGTTAATAAATCCTTGATTTTATAAATATGTTTTATAATAAGGTTAAAAAAGGCCTGTAGTCACAAATGATGAACTTTTGTAACTTTATTATTTAAAAATTAATATTAGAGCTGGTTCTAAAAAAAAATTGAAAGAATAAATATAAAAGTACATCTTAACTTATTAAAAAATCCTTGGTAATGTTTGTTTTTCTAATTTATCACAATTACCAAGTACTTGATAATAACTAAATTTTTTTGAACAAATAACAACTTTTTAAAGAAAAAAATATTTAAACCGTACCCTCTCATTTTTGTTCTATTTTGCTAACATAAAAGGATGTATAATATAAGGAAAGGGGGAGTGGGTATAGTATCCCTCTATGCAAACACATGCCACTCCTTATACACTGACCTTGAGTAAGGTGGATGTGTATTTCAGGCAACCTTTTCGAGTCTACAAAAAACAGATTTTAGGCTTTGATTTTTGACTCTAATTTTCCATTCAAAAAAGGTTCAATAAATTATTTATTTCTAGTATTTCTTAATTCAAACAATTTTTAACAAATTAAATCTTTTTTAATTCATTAAAAAGTTTCTAATTGGTTTTAAAAATGTACATACTTGTTTTTTTTTTTTTTTGTATGTATGGCAACAGGGAGAGAGGGTTCAAATTTCTGAATTTTTGATGTACTAACTTAGTGGGTGAGCGTTATGCTGTTAATTATAAGCAATAAGAGTTGTTTTATCTTATTGTTGAATCTAACCACTATAAAAAAGAGGGTTTAGCGGGTTTTTTTTACAACAGATTAGTGTTGTTTTAAAAGAACATTTGTGAAAATTTGAGAAAAGATTTGCAGAGACATAAAAAGATTTGGAAAAAGATTTGCAGAGACATAAAAAGAGATCAAAAGTTGATCAAATGAGTGCAATAAGTTTTGAAGTAAGAAAATGTTTTTAAGGAAAGGGAAATCTTTCAAAGTAAGTAAAAATCAATTTAAGCATTCATCAAACAAGATTTCATCTAAATTGTCATCAAGTTCTATATTATAATCAAGTTACATGTTAATTTGGTAGTGTTAAATTGAAGCACTTTCTTCATAAGTTAGAATTTTCAAGTTCTATTCCCACCGTGTTTTTGGTAGTACGTATTTTTTTATTCTCTGAGCAGTGTTTGCCAAAGTTCCTGTTTCTGAGATAAAGAGTTGATGTTGTAGCCACAAAATTTGTCTAATGCGTATTTTACTGGATTAGCCTTATATTGGCACACCTTTGGTGTAAGGTTATAGGCGAAATGTTGGCCGATTTGTTATGGTTAGCATTGCATTGGCATTTGATTGGTTGCTCATTGTTCAGCAGGATTGGCAAAACTCATATGGTGCCTGAGAGTTTTGTGTTGTTTAATTCATTTTAAGTGAAAAAAGAATTATAATTACTGTTACCATCATGTTCTCTCTGATTCCATTTAAAAAAACTTTTTTTCTCTAAATTTTATCAGCTTTATTATCATCATCATTTATTAAGATTATTACTTGTTTCCAACACATAGGTAGAAAATTTTTTAGCAAAGTTTTTTTTTTATACATGATTGTGATCCTTTATTATGTTAGTTAAATATAATTTTGGCAATTTCCTGGTTTTTGTCTGTATATTCTAATTTTTAGGTTTCTTTCTGTGTATTGTGATCTAGGGACAATACAAAAAGAGTTAGATACTATTGCAGATATTGATAATATTGATATTTCAAGTTTACAGTATATAAAAGACATGGTATGTTCTTCAATTCAGGAAAACATGGGAGACAAGGTTTATTTTTTATTTTCTTTAGTTTAATCAAAAATGAAATGAATTTAAAAAAAGTGCTTTTAGTTTTTTTTTAAATAATTTACATATATTTTGAAAATTTTATTATATTTTTATTTATTATTTATAGGTATTTCATCAATTGAAAGAAATTCTTCCAACTAAAAGTGATGCTTACATAAACAAATGTATTGAGACATGTGGCACTGATGTGGGAATAATAATGAACAATGTGATGGAAGGAAAAATTCCAAATTCTGAAGAGGAAAGCAAAAAGATAAATCAAAATAAAAAAATTAAAACTCCAAATGCAGATTTTCCTAAAGTTGACAAAGATCATATTTCACTTATAAAAACTACATTTCTTCGAGAAAATGAAATTTATGATGACGAATATGATGACACTTATGATGCACAAAATATTGCGGCTCGTGATTACGATGATTATACAGCTGAGAGTATATATGGAAGGTATTATTTTTAAAAAAATTATTAAAAAAATAGCATCATGTGTTTTAAATAGTGCTTTAATTGTTTTAAATATTAGGGAGTTGCAATACTTTTTTATTTGTTATAAATATAAGGGATTTGCATCACTTATTTAGGTATCACTTATAAATATTAGGGAGTTGCATTACTTATTTAGGTATTACTTATAAATATTAGGGAGTTGCATTACTTATTTAGGTATTACTTATAAATATTAGGGAGTTGCATCACTTATTTAGGTATCACTTATAAATATTAGGGAGTTGCATCACTTATTTAGGTATCACTTATAAATATTAGGGAGTTGCATCACTTATTTAGGTAAACAGCTTGAGATTGAGATTATTTGAAAAGGGAATGTTAAGGGATCACAATATATATGAAGCAATCTCCAGATTCTCCTAGGAAGCTTTAATTTACTTGTATGCTGTATTTTTTATCAAAGAGGCGTGTCACTCTCATAGTCCCCTCAGTCTTCAAGTCTCCGGAATTCTATACCAAGTTTATGTTTACCTAATCAAACATTTGACAAACAAATTTTTACAACAAGTTACTTAAAATTTCAATTGTAAATTGTATAGACCAGACACAATATCAACACTGATTACTCACGATTACGATAATAATTTAGATAATCAAAATAAAAACAACACTGGTTATTTTTAGTTTTTATGATAAGTTATAAAAATATCTGAAATTCAAAATATTTAAGCTAAAATTTGACTATTTTGAATAGAACTATTTTGAATAATTAGTTAAAATTAGTCGTTGTTTAGTTTTTAAAGCTTGAGAAATTTGATCTTTTTGAGATAATTTAAACATATTCCTTTGTTATTTGGGAATTTTACTTTGCGATAATCTTTGAATGGATCTGTTTCCATATATTTATTTTCTTTTTATCTATAACGTGCGTTGGATGATATCCATCCGAAAATAATTCAAGTAGACTAATACTCTTTAAAAAAAAAGTTATGCAAAGTAAGTGCAAAATTATAAAACAATTTTTTGATTGTTTAATATATCACATCTATATTTAATTATTGTGTATAACTTTTATCAACCGGTTCCTTGTTCAGCTTGAACAATTTTCTTTGTTTTCTAGTAATTTCCAACTTAATAGTGGTTGGTTGTAGTTTTGTTGGATGTGAATTAATTTGAAAAATAGAAATTCTGGATTATTGGTCTTTATTTTTATTGTTATGAATATATTTTGTGCTTGTTAAATCACAAAAGTTTAAAACTTGAATTTTCAGTATATCACTTTTATATTGATATGCACTATAAACTAAGTTTCTTTTAAATCCATGTGCGTCCACATATGATTTTGATCTATATAAAACAAAATCTCCTTTTAGGTATTGAAAAACGATCTTTTAAGTATCGAATAAACTTTATTTCACTCTTTTTTTAGAAAGTTTACAATACCTCGGGTTCTTCGCCAAGCAGGAGATGTATCCAGTGAAAGCAGTGAAGAAGATGTCAAGTACTCCGAAAACAACCAGGTTTTTTTATTTTAAAAATATATACTATTTTTAAAATTGAATTTTAGAATAATTATTTGTTCTTATTGTCTATTTTTAGGATAATGCATCAAATAAGACTACCTTTACCAAGGTCGCCAAAGATCAAGTTGCACCATCTACTGAACATTTACAACATCAAGATGGGAAAAATAAAAAAAACTTCCAGCCTAATAGAAACGATGCGAAAGATGGCGATAAATTTAGAGAGACACATACCTCTAATAGAGGTTCTGGCGTTAAAGAAAATAGCTCCAAAGGAACATATAATAATCGAGGACGCGGTCGTGGTGCAAACAAACGAAATCACAGAGCAATGGCAGATAGTAAGAGGTCTAAAGGCATGATGCCATTTTAAAAAACAATTTAAAAAAAATTAAATTTGAAGTAGGTGTTTTGACTAATTGCGATAGACCAGTTAAACAAAGTAGTTTTCAGATTTCCTTGCACCAGCAACATATGCGTAAAGTTTGCATAAATTGAACATCAAAAGTTGTTCTCGAGATCTTTTTTGCTTTGTTATTGGAGTACATAGATTGATAGTTATTGGAGTACATAGATTGATAGTTATTGGAGTACATAGATTGATAGTTATTGGAGTACATGGATTGCCGTAGCAGTTTTGTAAATGTAAACAACCAAGATGTAATTGTGTAAAAGTAAACTAAAACAATCTTTAATCATATATGAATATTTTAATTTAAAAAAATGATGAACATAATATGTTTCATTTTTCAATATAATTGCTACCGACAAGGTTTACAAAAATTTGACTGAAAGAACACGCAATTTTTTAAGTTCGCATATAATTTTTTAAGTTTACATATAAAATCTTAAGTTTACATATAATTTTTTACATATAATTTTTTAACATAGTTTTTATATACAAGATTTTTATTAGGACTAAAGATTACTCTTTTATATCATTTGTCGTGAGCATCATGAGTCGTGAAGCAGCTTTTGTTTTACAATGCCTTTTTATATTTAAGCAAGTTCTTAACTTCTTTTTTTTTATCTTTAATGACTGTAATGACTTTCTTTTGTTGGTTAGTCTGATTTTGGGTTTTCTTTTCTTCTGACAAATCAGTTAAGTATCAGTAAAGTTCAATGTTTTTAATTGCCTACTTTTCTATTACATTTTTTAGCAGCTATCTTGGTCAATATAAAAAATATTTGGTTTTCTCAAACTTTTTCTGTTTCAAGTAAAAAAAAAAAATTTTTTTGTAGGTAGTCTTAGAAAATTGTCTTAATCATTTCTTAATTTTTTTTTTTTTTCTTTTTTTTTCTTTTTACGTTTTGGTATTATTTTATATCTTACAAAATGTTGGTGTTCATGCTATGTATAAGCCAATTCAAAATCAATATTTTGGTCATTAAAATGAAATTGGTATATGTATCAATAAACAATTATAATATAAAATGGAACACTAATCTTATCACTATTTTGAAAATAGTAACCGAATATTACAGTAATTAGTAAAGTTTTAAAGTAGAAAATAACTAACAAAGTTTTAACTGCCTTAAATCCTTAAACAATCAACAAATCTGAAATTTTATACAGAAGTTGGTGTGGCTATAGGCTAAATTTTTGTATATAATTTATATTGAATTATATAAAGTGTTTTTTATTCTACAGGTGTTTCTATTAGCGCCCTATAAAGTCAAAATTTCATTCAATTTGATCATTTAAATTAACTTATTTTCCACGGACTGAATAAAAATTTTTTTAAAAGTTTCACCACAGGGTACCATGAAGTGTACGCTATCTTTCCATATAAGTAACATTCTTGGGTTTTATCGAGATCCATGATAACCGTGTAGTAGCTAAATAAAGAAAACTTTTTCCATCAAAATTAAGTATTTTTATAAACCGTTTAAATGTTTTTATTATTTTTTTAGTTTTCGTGTTGTAACACTTTTTATTCTTGTAAATTATTTAGTTCAGCATAAATAAAAAAAAAAACGTATTAAAAAATAAAATTGAAACTTTCTACAAAAGAATGCGCTAAATTGACATCATATTTTTATATAAAAGAAAGTCAAACGCAAAATGAAAACATGAAAGATCCACGCAAAATGAAAGCATGAAAGATCCACGCAAAATGAAAACATGAGCAACTCTTCAAAAGAGTACGTACAAAAACAATCACAAGAATTCGTGATCTTTTATTCCGGCTAGTAATCGTCAACAAATAACACCAAAGGGCAAAATAGTTAAACAGCGCTCTAACATAATGTCAGGCAGTGAGAAAAAATTCTTTAATATTGGAAATGTTATTACATTGACAATGAGCATAAGGACAGTTTATATTATTACACAACTTTTGGACCTGAAATACAAATTAAACATATCACAAACCATGTTATTTCATTTGCCCAAATTACGTTAGAGGAAATGGATGGGCGAATGTTAATTGAGCGTGCTATTCTGTTGTGCTGCAAGATTTTGCAACCAATGGTCTTTATTTTTAAAAGAAAGAGATGATAAAGGGTATTTTTTAATAATTATATTTATTAAAAAATACCCCTTTATTAATTTAATAATTGGAATAAATTTAAAGCAAAATTAAATCACAAACGTTGCACAGTGGCCCAGATATTAGACAATTGGACAAAACTACTTTGATCCTTTTTTTTACTAAAACCCTTTAAATGTTTATACAATCACTTGTCATTATTAACAACCACGGATTAAAATATATTTATTATTATATTTATTAAGATATTTTTTTTTTTTTGCTATGAATTTTAGTTAAGTAGTTACTAATGCAAAAATATTTATTAACAAACTTCATAGAACTTTAAAAACGCGGATTCGTAATTTTTTAATTTCAAATTTTTTAAATTCTTAAAATCATGGAGCTGAATAAGTAATTTAGTAAACCGGCGCCATTACTCCTTATATGGTGAATAAACTAAAAAAAAATTGATGGAACAAACTTTCAAAATAAAAATGCGAACTTGCTGTAGAAAAAATGAAAATTTAGCTCTAGATTTGAAACTCCATGGAATTTTCATATGTCCACGAAGTCTGTAAATTACTTATCATCTCTCTATATAAAAATGTATTTTTTATTTAATTTTTAATCTATTGGCCGCACACTCTGAACAAATACTATTACAATTTTTTTTATCATTATAAAGTCTATCGAGTTCTAAAGATACTATGTAAATAATAAGCAAGAACTCTTTATTATTTAGACCTTGTTCACTGCTTTCATTTTGACTTACCTTTTTGTAAATACTATATCCTGTAGCACAATGAGATTCAGCCTTACATATAAACATCAGTTTAGTTAATTCCTTAACCATTGTGATTACCACAAAATGAGTATTATCATTGTTACAGCTTGATGAAAAGGTATATCTTATAATTATATGTTATATAAGCCCGTAAATATTACCAATTTTTATATTATTACTAAACAAAAAAGTTGTTATGTATACAGTACAATTTGTATTGAAATTAGATGACAAACAAAATAACATTTTGTATTTTTTTTTTTTTGAGAAAAAAAGCTGATTTCAAGCAAATAATATAAGTTACAAGTCATTATCTTAAAATGTTATAGAAACTAATAAAATAACAAATAGGTTGTATACCTTTATATAGTTGCATTTAATAGATATCTAAACCATAATCAAAATGACAATAATAGCAGCTTTTATATTCAGAATAGAGTTTGTATGATAAGATTGTTCAACCGATTAGAGTTGCTTTTACAATTTACTTAACGTTGCTTCTCCTCCCAATATTTTGAGCAAAATATACTTCACCTTTACCGTCACCATTTTCCCCTCTGGTTCATGATGCTATTAAATTCTGCGCTTTAGCATTTTTTAGAATTTACACTGTTGAAATCTACGAAATTTTGATTTGTCATTTTTGTTATGGTGATCGGGATACCATCATTTTTTGCATTTACCTTCTGTATTCACGGAATGTATCCTTATGGAAGATACGCGTATTTTTTATTTAATGATTATGCCCTTCACAAGAGCCTGAACACAAAATTATGTTCATCTTGTCACTGTTATCTTGACTAATTAACTATTTACGTAATCACGTACCTATCTCATTTGCACCACGTCTTCCTTTGGGCTTGGCTTAGGTAAATTAGTGTCCAAGCCAATTGCTGCTTTTTTCCGCCAGATTTAAAATTGTAAAATTGAAGACAGTTTATTTCTGAAGGTAATACGCTCAGTTTGAAAGTGAAACACAGCAATGCGATTTTTTGGGTAGCCATTTTTCTCTGGCAACTTGTTTTGATCTTTTATGTAGTTTCCATTGCTAAAATCCTTTTTTCTGTTATTATTTGTTCGCTTTCTAGCATTCTATTTTTCTCTAAAATATCATATTTTACTTGGTACGTATAACCCGAGATTATACTCATCATTGACGCATTTCCCTCCTAATCTTACATGCAAGGTTTTGTTTGCAAGGCCAACTCTCGGTTCACGAATCAATGTGCTGTCGTGAGCTTTGCTTACATTATACTTAATCATCTGATCAGAAATATCAAGTGTATTCATGAAAAACACTTTGAACGCTTAACTTTTCACTTTTGAACTGGTCGGCAGAAAGTATTTTTTAGAACCATGAACTGTTTTCGGCGGTAACTTTTTCTTTGGGAAAAACCGTCACGTTTGAGACTACAAAATTGCGACAAAATGTCCTATTACTTAATCCACAGAAATCATTAAAGATTCTATGTCTAATATTAAGTGCAATTTTTTGCCAACATTTTCAACAGCAATGACCACATTTGTCTTTCAATGTCTTTTCTTTGACAAGGAAAAGAAATTCTGTGTCCCAACACAGGACAAGGAAATAAATTCTGTGTTATTCTTTAGAGCTATTGAAATCAATTAATAATTTCAATAAAGAGATTCTCAGTGACCCCGATCGTCTTTGAAATTTTGGCGAACATTATTTTCAAAATATTTGATTTGGGATGAACGCTTTTTAGGATTTTAGGCGTATCATTTTGAAAACGGTATGGCTTTGGATATTATTTGATCTACGCAATTATTGGTTTCGGTTATCAATCTCTAAATAGATAAACTCACATACAGGAACAATTTAAACTTTTTAAACTTTGCACTTTTATCTCAATTAACTTTATTATTTCATTTACCAATTACTGATATATTTACTAAGATTTAACTCCGCAATAACTTCTTATTTCTTAAGTTCAATAACTTCTTATTAAGTAAGGGAGGATGGGTAGGAGTGAGCCAAGGGTAGGAGTGAATCATTGATCCTACAGCTAAAACGGAAAATGAAAAATACTCAAAATTTTCACCAAGTAGTTACATACAAACTGTTGTTAACACAATCCAATTTTTTTACCGCTTCTTGGTGGGGGTGTCTGTGTTTACATTGCCATCCACTCTTTTTTTGTGTAAAAGTAAATTTTTTGTATTTTGTGAAACTTCTTTAACGAGCATACAGGCTGTTTTGAGACATTAGATAGTTGTTAAAATTTTCTAATAAATAATGTAGTTTTTAGAACAAAGTATTTTACATACATAAACCACGTACTTATTGCACCTTTTATATTTTATTCCATTTGTACAGCTTGGGGAGGAATAACCCATTTCTTCACGGGTAGGAGTGAACCGCGGCTTACTAATACTTCACGTTACAAAAGTTTTGACTTCAGCGTAAAAATATATTTAAGTTTGACTTTTATACCTTAGTATATCATTAGAAAACTAGTGTGCAATATTAAATTTTATTTCCCATATGTTATAACGCCTCGAGTCTATAAAAGAATTACTTAAAAAGAAAAAACTTCTAGTAAATATATGAAAGATGCATTACATTTAATTTAAAAAGGAAAAAGTATTTGAAAAATTGCAATAACTTCAAAAATATTGCTACCTCGGCCAACCTTCCCTGGAACAAGTAAAAGGCAACGTTGCCATTACAAGTTTGAGGTTGTGTTTGACTATATCAGTAATTGCTAAAAATTATTTTTATTGCCAATATACTATATGCTAATATACTACTTTCATTGCACATATACACTTTTATTAAATCTTAATATTCGGAAATTATCATTTGTCATGACAGTTTTTTTTTTTTTTTTTTTTTTTTTACATTTTAAGTTTACATTTGTCGTAATACAATACTTTAACAAATACAAACAAGGTTTCTAAAAGAAGATCGTACTGATCTTATCATCAGAACCTTTTACAAGCATAATTATTTACAATGTATATAATCTATTTATAAAATAAACAGTAAAAGTAAATAGTAAAACAAAAAGATAAAAAGTAAAACAAAAAGAGTCGTTACATATAAAAAGTAAAACAAAAAGAAAAGTAAAACAAAAAGAGTCGTTACATATAACGTATTTTACAATTAAAAAGTTCTAAATAAAGGTACATAATTACAATTAGAAGAACCTTATTATGTCATCGGAAAATAAAATTAAATTTTTGAGTTTATGTTTAAAAATTGGAAAAGTGTAAAATATATTAAAGTTTGGTAAAACAACTTCATTCCAAAGATATGGCGCACGATAAGCAATACCATACTGGTTAAACTTTGTTCGACAAAAAGGTTTATGCAAAAATTTATTATTTCTAAGAGTATATTTATTTATTGGTTTTTCACAAAAGAGAACTTTAAAGATAGGTAGGGATAAGTCATTTTTCCACAAATACATAAAGCATAAAACATTAAACACATTAAGTTCGTAAATATTAAGAATTTTCATTTCAATAAAAAAAGGTTTGGAATGAGTGTATCGATCCGCAAAATTAATTAAACGGATCGCATGCTTCTGACGGCGGTAAAGACATTTTAATTTGCTTTTTTCTGTGCTTCCCCAAGCAATATTTGCATAATTTAAATAGGTATGAATAAATGTGTAGTATAGTTGGGTTAAATCTTTTTTACATAGATATGTTCTCGATTTATATAAAATTCCAATGCTTTTAGAAATTTTTGTGCTAATATAGTCAATATGCGCTTTCCATGTGATGTTTTCATCAAGAAAAACACCCAAAAACCTTGTGACATAGTGTCTTTTTATCACAGTATTATCAATAAAGATTTCTGGTAAATTTTGGGGTAAATAAGGTTTTTTTGCGATTGGATGGAAGAGAATCCATTTTGTTTTGTTACTGTTAAGAGTTAGCTTATTGCATATAAACCATTTTGATATGTTTTTAAGTTCATCGTTCATACTAGAAAAGAGTTTGTAAATATCATTATCGGAAAGAAATAAGTTGGTGTCGTCAGCAAACATTATACTCATTAAATTTGAGGCTTTATTTAGGTCGTTTATATAAATCAAGAACAACAGTGGTCCCAAAATGGAGCCTTGGGGAACGCCACATGAAACATTTAGGAACTCAATTGGATAACAACTATTACTAAAAACAAATTGTTTACGGTTAGATAAATAACTTCGGAACCATTTTATAACTTTGTAATTTATTCCATAGTATTTCAGTTTTTGTATCAAAATTTCATGATCTACAGTATCGAACGCCTTCGATAGGTCGATAAAAACACCTAATGTAAATTTAGATTTTTCAAAAGAATTTGAAATTTCACGTACAAGTTGGATAATTGCATGTTCCGTCGAATTATTTTTTTTAAAACCAAACTGGTTGGCGTATAACAAATTATTAGAAAGGAAATAATTGTATAATCTATTATACATAATGCGTTCTAGTATTTTTGAGAATGTGCAGAGGACGGAGATAGGACGATAATTACTGATATTTGTTTGATCTTCCTCTTTTAAAATTGGGGTAATTTTAGCAATTTTTAATTGATCCGGAAAAACTCCTTGGTAAATAGATGCTCCATAAACCTTAAAAAGTATATCTTTTAATTGTTCAAAACATTCTATAACTATATTACCGTTTATGTCATCTGCTCCGTTTGCTTTGTTTTTTTTAAGGGATTTGAATGCTTTTTCGAATTCATAAAAAGTTAGCTCAGAATATAATTCGTTGGAACTAATGCAATTATCCATCTGTACTAGAAAATCGTTAAATGTTGCTTTGGTATAAGGAATTTTATTTGCTAGTTTAGGACCAATGTCAGTGAAGAATTTATTAAACTCATGAGCTATAGCTTTTGGTTCGCATATGCGTTTGTTATCCACTATAACCATCTGGGGAAGAGAACCTGAGCATTTTTTTTGTCTGCCAGTAATTTCGTTCATTATTTGCCAATTGCGTTTTGTGTTATTTTTGAATTTATCTAGAAGTCTTGAGTAATAATTTTTTTTCAAATTTTTACGAACTTTTTCAAAGAGATATTTGTAATTTTTATATATTTTCTCATTATCTAGTGATTTTGTTTTAAGATATTTTATATACAGCTTCTGTTTAATCTTGGATGATTTTTTAAATCCTTTTGTTATCCAGAGGTTATTTTTATATTTTGGAGTTATTGTCTTTTCAATAATAGGAAAGTTTGCGTCATAAACGGAGTAAAAGGTTTCATAAAAGTTATCATAAATTTTGTCTGCATTGTCATTGAAGTTAATATGCTTCCAGTGCAGTAACGATTGTTGGTTTTTAAACAACTTTATATTTGTATGGTTAAAAATGCGGATTTTAATTTTGTTTATTTTATTTTTAATTTCAGAATTAATTGTCAAGAATATTGGAAAATGGTCAGTTATATCAGATTTTAGTATACCTGTTTGAATATTATTGTTGAATATATCTGTTGTAATAATATTATCAATCAAAGACGTCGAGTTTTTTGTTACTCTAGTTGGCCTGTTTATTAAAGGAATTGCTCCCGCCTCAAAAAAGGAGTCGTAAAAGTTTTTAATTTTGTTATCTTCATTATAAAGAAAACAATTCATATTTAGGTCTCCAATAATGAAGTTCTTTTTGTTTTCTTTAATACCTTTTTTGAAAATACTTTGTTCAAAAAAAATGCTCAAGTTCTTGCTCACGCCGTCAGGTGGGCGATAACAACAGCTTAATAATATGTTTTTAGATGGATTGTTCATAATTTTAATAGTCAAAATTTCTTTATCGCTATCAGAAGCACTTAAATCATTCCTAACGTAATAAACAATATTTTCATTCACATATATAATGACTCCTCCGCCGCGTTTATTTACTTGTCTTTTAAACGAAATTAATTTAAAATGAGGAATATAAAAGTTCGAAGTATTATCTATGTTATTTGAAATCCAGGTTTCAGTTAAACAAACTATATTAAAACGATTTTTTGTTTCCTCTAACAAGTTTAAAAGTTTTTCAAAATTGTTATTAAGACTTCGAATGTTTACGTGTAGTATCATAATTTTATTTAAACATTTGTCATAAACATTTTTAAAAAAAAACCCTTCTAAATCGCTTGGAAAGTAATATGAGCAATCCGTAAGCGCCTCGTAGGAATAGTTTATATCGGGGTCTATATTTACATCATTTATTTCATTAAAGTTAAAACGCATGGATTCAAAGTCACTGATTCCAGCCATGCTTTTTTTTTTTTAAATATAATTTTATTTGAGCATTTACTTTTAGAAAGGCTTCTTTTTAGGACTTAAAGTTAGGGATGGGATTTTTAAATTCTCTACAAAAAATTTTATCATACTTGATAATGGCGTACTTTCCTTCACCGCGTAGACGTTTGACTTCTTCCCACAACTTTTTGCGACTCTCGATAGTTTCCTTTGCGAAATCTTCGTTGATGAATACACCAGTACCTTTCAAGTTTTTAACAGCGTTAAGAATCTTGTTCTTGTCTTGATAATTTAAAAGTTTCAGAACTATAGTTCTAGGTATTTTACTATCTTTTGTTTTGGATTTATCTGTTTGGAGTTATCTGTTTTGTTGTCAAAATCAGTTGTTACTGAAAACACTTTTTCTGGTAGTTTATACATCGTGTTTTATTTCATTAAATGAGTTTAAAATTGTGTTAAATTTATTGCTATTTATGTTACATTATTACTTAATTATGTTATGCTTAATTATAAAGTATTTGTTATTTACTTAATTTTCAATAAACTAGCTTAAAAAAAATATCTAATTTTAGTTTTCTGGCAATCAAAGGTAATGGCTCACTCGTATTGTTTGCTTGGTTTACTCCTGCCCATGCATGGGTAGGAGTGAACTAGTAGCAACACCTGCGTTATTGTCCAAGTTATTAAAAATCTGAAGATATTTTGATATTTTATGTATTACTATTAGAAACCTAAAACATTAGGCTACCATAGGCTCTTTATTCCATATTTTTTTCAACTTTTGGTTTCCTTGATATAATCTATTTTTAAAAAAAAGGGCTCACTCCTACCCATCCTCCCTTAATATATATTAATATAATGTATTACATAAATTATATGAATACAATACATAAAGAGTTATGAAAGAATTAAATAAATTTTATTTATGTCATTTTTAAATAATTGTGTGTGATTGAGCAGATCAAACTTCTATTTAAAAGGAATGTTAGTCTTTTTTTTGCAGTTGCAAGAATTTGCACGTGTGTTCACATGAAACATAGAGGACAAATTTTAGGAAGATTCGACAGTATTAAAGTACTACCCTAAAGACTACATATGATTATACACTAAACTTAATTTTGGTCACTTTGTCAGTTACAACTTTTTTGCTCTAAGACTGCGAATGTATCCTTCTGCGTGGTACCCTCTCACCACACAGAGCAACTGGATAAGAAACATGTGGCATTTGTAAAGTTGGAGCTTGTGCGAATATATATTTATATTAAGGTTAAGCAAACTTTGCATAACCTGAATTTGAATATTGAAAATACGAGAGGCCAAAGATAGAATGATGAAGTATAAATCAATCCTGAAGCGGCTGTGGCGCACTAGTTTAAGCAATTGCTTTATAGAACGCCTGCTGAAAGTTTTCAACACTGCTTCGAGCAGACAAACAATAATGAAGCATTTAATGAAAAAGAACTTACCCCATATATCCCGGTACTAGTTACAACTGTTCAAGAACCACTTCTTCCTCAATCGGAGTTCCCTTCAGATCCCGGACTATATAACAATACGAGTTTGAGCGCAAAGCTGATAAGGAAGTTATGTGAAATAGGACCATGTCAGCCAGGTCTACAGAAATCTTTCCAATTTCCAACTGATGAAGCCGGCCGTAAGTTCCAAACATCTTGGTATACAAAAACTATTGGAAAGGGAAGTATAAAAAAGGAAAGAAATTGGCTTGTATTTTCACCTAGTAATCAAAATATGTACTGCCACGCTTGCTGGTTATTTGCTGATTTTAAAGCTGAAAATTATAGCAAAGAATGGTCTGATACATCTGCAGGAGTTTATAAGTGGAAAAAAGGCATGGAAAAAATAGTTAAACACGAAACTTCTCACCAGCATCAAAACGCAATACGCCAATATTTGCTCACTAAATATCGTATTTCAAATGATAAAACTGATATATCTGGTTTAATTAGTCAAGAGTGTCGCCAAGTAGAAAAGAATAGAGAAGTTTTGAAACGAATGATAGACGTAACGTTGTTCTTAGCAAAAGGTTTATCATTTAGAGGACACAGAGAACATCAACATTTCAAAATTGGTAATAAAGGTACAGCTAATAACGCTGCCAATTTTCTTGAACTGTTAACTCTATTATCCAAATATGATCTTACTTTGGAAAATCATCTTAGGTATGAAAAGAGAAATCAGCTGTATTTAAGTCATGATGTACAAAATGATTTAATTCAATCGCTTGCTTCTGAAATTTCATCCACAATCAACAATGAGGTTAAATTAGCCCAGTTTTTTTCGTTAATTATTGATTCAACTATTGATATTTCCAAAATTGATCAGATGTCAGTTTCGTTACGAATGGTTTTAAAATCAGGTAATTTTGTGGAAAGATTCATAGGCTTCTATACTTTAGAAAACAGCAACGCTGAAGCATTTGCTGAGTTAATTTTATCTGAGCTTGAAAAACGAAACATTGATATTAAACTCTGCAGAGGACAAGCATACGATGGTGCTTCTGTAATGTCTGGAATTAAAAGTGGTCTTCAAACTCGGATAAAAGCGCTTTCACCAAATGCCATCTATGTTTATTGCTGTGCTCATGTTTTAAATTTGGTGACCATTGAAGCAATGTCTGTAAACAGCGAAGTCCAGTTATTTTTTGGCACAACTGAAAAATTGTATACGTACTTTACGTCTAGTTTACCACGACTTCATATTCTCCAAGAACACCAGAAACGTCTATATGAATCAACAGTAGACACTCTGAAACGACTTTCTGATACAAGATGGGCAAGTAGGAAGCATGCAGTTGATGCTGTTGTTGAATCTTTTTCTGCTATTTTAGCCACTCTAGAAGATATAAATCTAGGAGAATCCAAACAACATACAGGAAATGTTAGAGCAGAAGCTATTGGACTATCAGTTTTAATAAAAAAACATTCATTTGTTTTTCTAATGATATTCCTGCAAAAGTTGTTAAATAATCTTTTTGTGTTATCTAACTATTTGCAACGAAAAGATATAGACGTTTTATTTGTAAAACAGTTGATTGATGTTACAAAAAAAAAATTTGTCGATATGAGAAACGATGCAGCTTTTGAAGTTCTACATTTAGCAGTCAAGTCATTTATTAGCGGAAAATGTGCTGAACTAGATGTAGAGACTGAATTTAAAGAAAAGCGAGTAGCCAAAATAAAATGCATGACAGGAGAGCTGTGGAGAGATGAAAGAATAGATGACCCAACTACACGTTTTAAATGTGAAACCTACTTCAATGTTTTGGATACAATTATAACCCAAATAAATGAACGATTTTACGACTTTAGTAACACAGTTACACATTTCGACTGCCTTGACCCATCAAAGCTGTCTGAGGAAAATATTAATTCATTTAAAAACTTATGTCAAGTTTATTGTAACGACGTAAACACTGAAGAAGCAATTGTAGAGTATGAAACATTCAAAGATGTGTATGCATCAATATCCCCATCACTGACAACTGACCTACAAATAAAAGATGTACTTCAATTCTTGATTGAGAAACAGATGGCACCCGGCCTCCCTAACTTGTCTATTCTTTACAAAATCTACTTGACTCTTCCTGTTACATCTGCTAATGCTGAAAGAAGTTTCAGTAAACTAAAGATTATAAAAAATTATCTCAGATCAACAATGACAAACGACCGTCTTTCTGGATTAGCATTAATTTCTATTGAACGAGAGCTTGCTGAAACCATTGACTTTAACTTCTTAATTAATCGTTTTGCTTTAATGAAATCTCGCAAAAAAAAATTTGTGTAAATTATCTGAGAAGTGAACTTTTTTTCTAGATGCTAACTTTTCCAATATGTCAAGTTAAATATATTTTTAAATGAATGAACTATTTCAGCAACATTGAATGTTTCTAATTTTTTAAAAGATAATTGTTAACTAAAATTAACGCAGGAAACTCAGAAAAAATTAGGTTACTTAGTGTCTTATATGTATGTAATATGTACAATAAAAGTCACGTAAAACCACTTATAAAGTGATTTAGTCAATAGTGCGATCTTCAGGAAAAAAATTTCTGGGGTTTAAAATACCAAACTCAACTGGTCGCCCCTATTCATTGACCTAGCCCCCCCCCGCGACACAAAACCTGAATCCGCCACTGGTAAGTATGCATCAACTATTGCCGAAAAATAAAATATAAAATTATCATCGTCACGTGTACACAATGGCTAACAATCACACATACACAAGGGCCAACAATAACGCGTACACCAACTTACATACGCATACACAATGGTCAATAGGCCGGTTGAATAGAAAAAAGCAATTGATTTTGTTCAGTGTTTTTGGAGTAATTGCTCAGCTTTACGTGAATAAAAATTTGAGCAAAATCGCCAAAAATTTTATTCACGTAAAGCTAAGCAAATACTCCAAAAACACTGAGCAAAATCAATTGCTTTTTTCTATTCACCCAGCCTAATAATCTCATTGAGCGAATCCACCCTTTTTTAAATTTTTTAAAAGGTCTCTCATCATTCCACTTATAGATTATGTATTAGCTGAATTAAAAGAAAAATTTAAAGCATTAGATACAAGTGAATTAGTGCTAACCTTCTATTTTTTGCGAGAAAAAAAGTAATAGAATTACCTGAAATGATACAAAATCTACCAGTAATTATGAAAGTGGTGAATTGTTTCGATGTTAAGCACAAGATTTATATAAGTCTTATAAAAATAAAAATAAATTTTCATCAATTGGAGTTGTTATTTACATGTCATCATGAAAATTAGTAAACAATTTACATCGTCTTCTGTCATGGTACCTAAACGTACAAAATTTAAAACATTAAAAATCTCCTTTTGTCTAAGACATTCATCTAAATTTATAGTTACTTAAAAAAATTAACGGTATCCGATAGAAATCACCACTTAAAATGAACTGAGTTTCTTCAACTCGTCTTTTATTTAATAAAAAACTTTCAATATCATGAATAAGTTGAAAGGTTTGAGCATTTAATATTGACATCTCATTTATAATAATATCATGTGATTCTAATCACCGTGTTTTGATATTGGCATATGTTTTATATAATATTCCTTAGATTTGTCCGTTTTACCAATTTCGCTAAAATAAGTAGCAACATTTTTTGCATAACTGCAATTTTTTTCCTAGCCGGTACATCTGGTTTTGTAAATAGCAGAGTATTTATTACGTAATATTTACTGAAGAGATCGCCTTCTGATAAAGCATTTTATTTGTATCAATGCTTTTTTCATTAGTATATAATACTAGCTGTCATGACCCGTACGATACTGGGTCATTTTAAATCTGTTATCAATTATGTTTTCTTACATCAATAAACTTTAATAAACAGCAGAAAATCAATTTTAAAAATCAAAACAAATTTTAAAATTCTTAACTTTTAGTTAACAATGAATTTACTATACTTTAAAACTATACTTATTTAACTTTAACATAGATGACAGTTACGTAATATTTCTTCCGGTGTTTTAGGAAACTTAAGGTTTTAACAAAAAGGTTTATAAATTAATTTTTTTTTAAACCTCTCATTAAAATTTATTTAAAATACAAAAGAGGACACACAAAACGAGCCATGGTTTATGTCAAATAAGTTAGCTCTATTGGTTTTACTTTATAGAAACTCTTCTGTAATAAATATACAATAAGAATGAATAATTTCAAAGGAGAAAAAAATATAAAATTTGACGTAAGAAACAAAAAATATATTTTTCTTGAGATTAAAAAAAAAATACTGATAGACTTTTTCAAAAATAAAATTACAAAAAATTATTATAATTTACAAAGCTCTGTCGAAACCGGTACGATGATAACTACGTTCCATTGTACCATCGCACGCTTTTTTTTAATGTAGTGTTTAAATAGAATAAAACAATAATTGGTTATAGATTAAGTATTATAGGTCCGAACTCGTAAAATACTTATCTCGGTAGGGTAGGGTGGGGCAAGATGCCCCCCTTAACAAACTTTATCGTATATAAAAAATACTTTTACATTTTCTTGTGTTTTTTCTTTTTAATATTAAAGTTTACTTATAAGAGAAGACATTGGTAGGATAAAATAACTACTTTGTTACTGTTGATAAACTTTAAAATCAAAAAAAAAAAAACTTGTGCCAGAAGACATCTTGCCTCAGTGGTGGGGCAAGATGCTCTATGGATTTAAAGAAAGAAAGCTTTTCACGCGTTATTCCCCAAACCATTAAAACAGTTGTTAAAAATAACTTAAAGTTCTCAAAAATAAAAGCCCTTATTAATTTTTTTTATTTACTCTTTACATTTTATTAAAACAACTGAAATATTACACTGCAAATAAATACTATGCAATTATTCTATACAATTGTCTTGAAGATAAATAACTTCTTTTTTAATTATTAGCAATCTTTACGCAATATTGCTTCTTGTTGCTTTTCTTTTACATTGTTTTCATGTTCTTCTAATCTCTTCTTGAAAGGCGAAGAAGTAAGATTTTCAGCTGATTCTGTCTTTCTTTTACGCTGTCTTAATACAATAATTTTAGGACGCGGGGAAATCTTTTCCAAAATATTAGGGCAGATTTAAGGCCAAGATGCTCATCAACAACTGGCAAAACCGCATCATTTGATTGTGCTGGTTCTTTCGTAACAGTCTTCATTTTTGAGGCAACAGTTGCTGTGCTTATGACATATGGCAACTGTATAGGTGCAACAAGAGGTATTGTAGGCAAATCACTTGATTGCTGACAGCTTTCCAATGGTATAGCTTCATCAGTGAGCAAAGCTGCATCAAAGGCTTCATCGTTAAAAATAAGCTCATTTATTGGGTATAAACCAGAGCATCTAAATTCATTGATTGCTTTGTAAATGTTTGCAGTAAAGTTATAGGCAGTTGTAAAAATACCTGCCATGTCAAAAAATGAAATTCTACGCCCCTGATGCGATAACATCCAGTTGCTTGCTGCAGTATTGTAACCAACTTTCAATGGTTCGAAAAATGTACGGTCTAAAGGTTGCATCTTGTGTGTACAATGAGGTGGAAGAGTTATGAGGTGAATCCCATTGTTGCGACAAAAGTTAATGGCTTCAAGTGTTTTGTGACTATGATGACCATCGAGTACAATTAATTGCTCATTATTTTTAGAGCATGAGTCACAGTAACAAAATGTGTTAACTATTCGATGAATAAAGATGAATCTGTCCATCCACTGGAGCTAGCTTTAACAATTGACCCTGAAGGTATATCTATTGTTGTCAAGCCAAATAATGCTCTTTCCATAATCTGAACTTGTGTTACAATGTTTAATTCAAAATCTTTACTAAATACAGGAGATTTTCCACCCAGAGATAAACCACCAACTACCTTTACTTTTCCATCTCGATGACGTTGTAATGTTTTTTTGTTAATACTAAATTCTGATGCAACATTTTTCAGACTGCAGCCCATCTCCATAGCTTCTAACGCTGACTTTATCCTATCATTAGTTGCACCTCTCTGTGTTTTTCGCACATAATTTCTCACCATTATTTAAATTGTTTAAATATGTTTCTAAATAAAAATTATTAAAATTAAATTATATAAACATATAAACACATGCAAAGTATTATATAAATATTTAATATACTATTGTTTCAAACATTAATTTACATTCATAAATTAACTCTTTTTAAGTTAAATAAGAACTTACTTAAGTTATATGCATACAACTTTTGCACAAAGTTACCCAAGAATTATTAATAACAATGGTATTATTATTTTTTTAATTTATTATTGTTATTATTATTATTTACATTCAATTGCTGATCATTAATTTAATATAATACAACTTTATTTCCCCAAATGCAATGCAAATTTTAAAAATGTATTTATAATACATTTATATATACATTTATAAATAATTTATAAATGTTTTACAAGTATGGATTGAATTGCAGTAACTGCATGTAATACAACTTCACACTTCACTTTATTTAGCATACATATTATAACATTTTAAAAATATATAAAATTATTTTTAAAAATTATTTATATATATGTATAATAGTTATCAACACATAAGCCAACATTTAAACAAAGTCAATAACTAAATTAGTAAACACACTTTTAAAATGGTAGAAATTCCGTAAAACCACGAGACTAGAAGCCCTCCGTGGGCATCTTACGCCACATAAACGAGGACATCTTGCATCATATGTAGTGAGTGCAAGTTTAATACAAATAAAACTAATTTTGTTGCTTAATTAAAAACTTTTTTTTCTATATATTATTGTGGGACAAATTCTGTATAAAAAAAACTATTTTCTTACCTTCATCGCATAAGTATATTGATATTGTTTTAACTATATTAATATTATATATTCCGTGATATTGTTTTAACTATATTAATATTATAATAGAGGAATAAAACATTACTATTCTATGATACCCTCACAAAAGCAAAAATTCTTGCCCCACTGGTCATCTTGCCCCACCCTACCCTAACTCTATTTCACACCAACCATTTCTATACTTGTTTACTTGAATTTTTTTAAGTATATGGCAGAAAAATAAAAAATAAATAATTTATACATGGCTTTTACAGTATAAAATAAGTGTTCTAATAATGCCTAAAGAGGCGCGATTTTTCCATTTACTTTAGGTATATTAGAACCGTCACCCATTTATTTATAATTAGTAAGAAAAATTTTGAATACAAAATTTTTAAACTACTCTAAAGAAATTACATTATCTAAAGTAGTAATGAACAGATTTAACTAATGACGTAAACATATAAGAAAAGTATCTTAAGAATCAAAAGAAGCATAGTTGACAATTACGTGACATTTCTCACGGTGTTTTCGGAAACTTGAAACTATATAAAAATTTAACTTTTTTTTCTTTTCTTTCTTTCAAATAAGTTAGCTCTATTTGTTTTTGCATTTCCCAAAGAAACTTTTCTGCAATAAACTCTCTACAAATTCTTTCCAGCTGTTTCTAATACCAGTTTTAGCAAATTATTAAACTACTATAGCTGTTATTTGTATCGAAAATTGGTAAAATACTTAATGGGAATAGAACTATCTAGTTCCGTAATAAGGACCGGTGAATATTCGTTAAAATTCGGATTACAACGTTGAAATATAAATTCGACTATCAATTAAATTCGGTAAGAATTTCAAAATTGCATTTAACTTTTAGTTAAATTCGAAAGCTATAACGTTTTTTTCAATTTATAAAGAAGAAGAATTATAAAATATATTAGATGTATTATGAATAACAACCTGTTTCTATTGGTTACAACCCTTCGAAAAATGTTTCGGAGTTGAGAGAGGGTTGTAACCAATATAAGAAGCAGCAATAATCTACAATAATCTATTTATATTCTACCTCTACTATTAGTCATTTAAATTTGATGTTTTAAAATAATATTGCAATTTGTAAAGACTTATATTTCGATCAAGAAATTAAATTAAAGTTATAAATAAATTGATATAACCTTTTCAACTGAGTAATGTTATATATTGAAGTTAGTTATTATTAATTATTTACAAAATATTATAAAAAAAAAAAAATTAAAAGTAATTTTAAAAATTATAAAACTTTTACATATAAAAATTTATCTCTCTCTCTCTCTCTCTCTCTCTCTCTCTCTCTCTCTCTATATATATATATATATATATATATATATATATATATATATATATATATATATATATATATATATATATATATATATATATATATATATATATATATATATATGTGAATATATATATATATATATATATATATATATATATATATATATATATATATATATATATATATATATATATATATATATATATATATATATATGAGTATATATATATATGAGTATATATATATATATATATATATATATATATATATATATATATATATATATATATATATATATATATATATATATATATATATATATATATATATATATATATATATATATATATATATATATATATATATATATATATATATATATATATATATAAATTAAAGTTGTTTTCATAACCCAACAAAAAATTGGATATGTAAAACTAATCCAACATGTTCATATTTACTTCAATTTCATAAAATTAAAAATTATTAAAAAACACACTTTGAACATACTTTTCTTAATCAACATATACCTTTCTTTTTATTAGCTAGCTAAATAATATACTAAGTTCTAATATCTATTTAAAGATAACATTAAAAATATTCATTCGATTTGATAGGAGTTGTCTTGAATTTTGTAAATCGTGTAACAATAAAGACAAATTAAATTCCAATTTAAAAAATTTGACATCTAATAAATTAAGACAAATTAAATTTCAATTTAAAAAATTTGACATCTAATAATTAAAGACAAATTAAATTTCAATTTAAAAAATTTGACATCTAATAAATAAAAACTTAAAAAATTTTTTTTACAAATAAATATAAAACATTGCCAATGAACTCAAAATTAAATTCTTCTAATCTGTGAAACCACAAAATTGATACATTTTAATTTTTTAGCTTTCTCTAAACTAACATTTTTAACTTGATTATTTAGTTCCTTAATAGCATTTTCAAGACATTTATGATCTTGTTTATATTTGCATATAACTTATTCACATTATTTGCATATAGGTACTTGTTCTTTATTTCAAAATTTTATAAAATCCCAAAAACATTTATAATAACCTTTGAGAATCAAAAGTCAATATTGATTTAAATAAAATATAGCTAATCGATGGTATTGTACAAATCTACTATTTGTAGAATGTATATGCTTTATATCTACTGTTTACAATTTTTCTTGATTATAAAATTATTGTAACTCCATTTCTGTTACATACCAATAAGAATTATGTTCCATTTCATCATCCTTTCGATCAAAGATTTTTCTAGTTTTTTCCCAAATCTCAGGTAAATTTTCTAATAAATAACAAAATAATTATTTTTTCTTCAAAAAAATCAATTTCTACTGCATAATTAAATAATGACTTAGTATAGAACTATGGCAATGTATAAATAGCAATATGTATCTTTTTTGAAAACAATAACTACCCTTACATCTTATTTTATTTACAACAACATTTATTTACAACAACATCCAAAATAATTTTATCTCCTTTGTCTACTGATCATTTTCTTTTTGTTTATCATTATTAAAATCCATTTTCAATTTATACTTTTTAAACATACAAAAATTAATAAAAAATAATAATTTAAGTTTAAAACAAAAATTGTCAACAAATTATTTTTAATTAAAAAAAAAAAGAATAAACAACTTTTCACTTTAGAAAATCAACATTTAATAAAATAGGATCTTTTACAAATAGATTTAAAATTTAACTTTTTCAACTAAACAATCAATTATAAAATAATTGTATTGTAGAGAGGCTTGTAAATTAATCAAAATTTTTTGCAAATAAATTTTTTAAAAAACAACAACTGTAATATCAACTTTTCTCTACATACAATACAGCCAATTTTAGCTCGTGAATTAATCAAATGTCTTTGCATTTCTTTTGCTTTTTGTTTTTAATAAAAATAACAGTAACAAGTCTATATATTCCAATAAATTAGATTTTTTTCTCCCTAAAAATTATATAACAAATTTTAAATTAATATGTTAAACTTGATTATTTAGGTCCTTAATAGCAATTATTTTTTAATTACCTTAACTAGCATATAATTTGTTCATATTATTCACATGCTGGATTTTTTATTTTAAATCCATATAATAATCATAATCAACTTTAGGAATCAAAAATGTCTGATGAAATGCATTAATCATTCATAACACAGGTCTTCAAATAATAATTGGTCGCTAAATTCGAAAAAGTTATCGAAAAAAATTCCATTACGTAAGGTTTTCCTAAAAAATGCAAAATGCTGTGTGATTGCTTATTTTAGGGCTCAAAACGGGGTTTATTGCCAAAATATTTATTATTTTGTTTAATTAGTTATTATAAGATAACTTTATGTTTTGCAGGCTGAAACAAAATATTTAGTAATTAGTGAAGATAATATTAGTCAGCGTTAAAGCATATAAATATCGGGATTTTCCATAGTAAGTATGGAAAATCCTGATATATACAAATGCTGAAATTCCCAAGGAATTTCCCTTTCATTTATTTATTTCTGCTCCAACTTTTGTAACGTGCATTTCAAAAATGACTTCAAGAAGTTGTGTAAAAAATATTAATGAATTTGTTAAAAAGGTGTATGCATATTTCGATGTGAAGATAGGCAATCAGGACAAATCTTGGGTCCCGCATAAAGTTTTTTTAGGGTATGTTGAAGGACTTAGAATGTGATCAAAAGGTAAAGTAAAATCTTTTTGTTTTGGTGTTCCCATAATCTGGAGAGAGCCTCGAAACCACAGCAATGACTGCTACTTTTGTTCGTGCAATGTGCAGGCGTATAGTACTAAAAACAAAAAACAAATTTTTTATCCAAACATGGAATCAGCACTCTGTCCAGTCCCTCACAGACCTGGCATTCCTACACCACAAGTACCCCAAAGCCTAGACGATTTATCATCATTAGAAAATGAATCAGAAGAAAGTTCTAGTGATGAGTTTCAAGTAGGCGACTCCAGTAGTCCTCAACAATTTTCTCAATCTGAATTAAATGACCTGATCCACGATTTAGGACTCTTAAAACAATCTGTTGAGTTACTAGGATCTAGTTTGCAAGAGAAAAATCTATTGACACCTGGAACTTATTTTGTTTGGTATAGAAATAGAGAAAAAATATTTTGAGCCTTATTTTTCTTAATATGGTGAGCTGGTCTATTGTTCCAATATCAATGGTTTAATGTCCATGTTCAAAGTTCAACATGGAGCTGAAAATTGGAGACTGTTTACTCTTTTATACTTCTTTTCTTTGAAAATAAGTATAAAAGCTGTTTTACTTCACAACAAGAATAAGTACGCATTAATACCCGTTGGTCACTCAGTGATTTGAAGGAAACTTATTGTAACTTGGCATTGATCTTGGATAAATTAAAGTACAAAGAATTTGAGTGGACAGTTTGTGGGGATCTTAAAGTAATTTCTGTGATACTTTGACATTAAGGTAGTTACACAAAATCTCTCTGTTTTCTTTGTACATGGGATAGTCGTGTTAAAAATAAACACTGAAAACAGAAAGTGTGGCCGAAAAGAACATTGAAAGTCAGAGAGAAAAACTTGCACTTTGAATCTTTGGTTGATCCTAAAAAGGTCCTTCTACCACCACTCCAAATCAAACTTGGCATGATGAAGCAGTTTGTGAAGGCATTGCTAAAAGATGGTGAGACATTTAAATACCTTTCAAGCAAGTTTCCTGGTCTGTCTGAAGCAAAGATGAAGGAGGGAGTTTTTGTTGGTCCTGACATTCGTAAGCTAATGAAAGATAACAACTTCGAAAATGTGATGAATTATCTTGAGAGGTCTGCTTGGAATTCCTTTAAAGACGTAGTTACAAAGTTTGTAGGGAATCAGAAAGACTCGGACTTTAAAAATATTGTAGGAAATATGTTGTGCAATTTTAAAAATCTGGGATGCTCAATGAGTTTAAAACTTTATTTTTTGAACTCTCATTTGGATTACTTCCCAAAAAGTCCTGGTGCAATCAGTGAAGAGCAAGGTTAAAGGTTTCACCAAGATATAAAAGAAATGGAGAGAAGGTATCAAGGTTGATGGGATACAAATATGGGTGACTACTGCTAGATGCTGCATAGGGAAAATGTAACGTCCCACAAAAGAAAAAAGCACTAAACGAAGCTTTAAAAAATAAAAAAACTAGATTTTATAAAGCTTTATAGTTGCATATACTGTAAGCAAATTATTTTATGATTTAAAATTAATTAAATTTATATAATTTTACAATTTTTTTTCTTATTATAGTCTAAAAAAGTAGTGTAAGGATTAGTTTGCCCATATTTTATTTTTGACTTAGCGGAAAATCCTTATGTGATTGGTCGAAATGGATGGTATTATTGAAATCAGTATACCAAAATACATATAATTCACCGATTCCAAAAAAAAAAAAAAAAAAAAAAAAATTTAATTTAATTAATTATTGGAAAAAATTATCTTAATTAATTGTAGTTTATTCGTTTTTTTTTTTTTTTTTAATATAAGTATTAAAATACAAGTAATACAATTATATTTACAATGATATAAATTTATATAAATTAGCAAAGTAAACATTTTTTAATCTAAAAAGTCCATTTCTATTGCTACTTTTTGATCAACACAATGACATAGTATAGAACTATGGTAACATATACATATTGCTAATCTTTGTTGCAAACAATAACTACCCTTACATCTAGTATACTCACAACAACATCCAAAAGAATCTTTTTCGTCTATGCTTAACAACTGATCATCATTTTTTTTCCATTTATCATTATTCAAATCCATTTTCAATTTATACTTTTTAAACATACAAACAAACATTAAAACATTATAAAAACTTAAATTTAAAAAAAAAATCGTCACCAAATGATTTTTAATAAAAAAGAAGCTGTTTCTTGTTTACTTTTTTTTCATTTTTTTTTTCAAGTTATAATTAATTGTTCTAACTTGTTTAGAAGTTTGTAGTAATTTTAAAATAATCTTTAAGTATTATTCTAATTAATCATTATGTAATTTCTTTAAAATACTACTTTTCACTTGCTTCAGTTATTGTTCCACTCTTTGTACAAAACGATTTTTAATTTCAAATTGTTTATAAAATTGATTATATACTTTGCTTAAAATTAAAAAAAAAAATGAAATAAAAAATTTTTTTATTACCTTCGTATTGCCCTTTTTTAATTCAAAACAGCTAAAGTATGAAAAGCTTTTAATGTGTCAAAGCATATCTTCCAAATAACATACATAAACCGGTTAGAACAAAAAAAAATCAACATTTAATAAATTGGAATCTTATGCAATTAGATTTAAAATTTAATTTTTCTCTATATAATCTATAAAATCATCAATTATAAAAAATAATTTTATTGTAGAGAAGCTTGTAAATTGATCAAAACTGTTTTCAAATCATTTTTTTTAAACTTTAAAAAAAAAAAAAACTGTAATACCAACTTTTCTTTACTTACTATGCAGTCTTTTTGAGCTGGTAAATTAATCAAATGTCTTTGAAAATCCACTTTAACTTTACTAAATAAAAAAGAAAAAAACTGTAACAAGTCGATACATTCCAATAAATTGAATACTTTTTTTTCATCCATCATTTTTTAAAAAATATATAACAAATAAAATATATAACAAATTTTAAACTAAATTGTTTAACTTGATTATTTAGTTCCTTAATAGCAATTCCAAGACAATTGTGATCTTGTTTACAGTCGCCACATATAACTTGTCCACATGGTTATCCATCCATGTCCACATATAGTTGCTGTTTTTTTTTTTTATTTTAGAACTCCATACAATCCATATAGTAATCATAATCAACTTTAGGAATCGTCCATATCGATTTAGATGAAATGTGTTGATCATTTATAATCATTTGAAAAAATTATTTTAATTTTAGTTTATTCATTTTGTCTATAAAAAAATATAAATATTAAAATACAAGTAAAACAATTATATTTACAATGATATAAATTTAAATAAATTAGCAAAACTAACATTTTTTAATCTAAAAAGTCCATTTCTACTGCTACTTTTTGATCAACACAACGACATAGTATAGAACTATGGCAATGTATACATATTGCTAATCTTTGTCGCAAACAATAACTACCCTTACATCCAGTATACTCACAACAACATCCAAAAGAATCTTATCTTTTTCGTCTATGCTTAACAACTGATCATCATTTTCTTTTTGTTTATTTTTATTCAAATCCATTTTTTGGATTTTTACTGTCAATAGGGTGAGCGAAAGTCTATCAAAATCTATTTTGACCGGATTGCTATTCGGTGGTATTCGTTTACAATTGTTACAATACACGGTTTTCGAAATTCCCAAAAGCTGTAAAACCCACTCAAAAATTTCGAGTAAACAAACTTGAAAAACGGTACGTTTTATAAAAGCTGTTTTTTTGAATAGATTTTATATTTTGATGTTTTTGCAAACTGAAATGATTGTTTTGATATAAAAACTGCTTAATACACTAACTATTTTGATTTATTATTTTTGCTTTAGTTTTAATAAGTAGCTATTGGTAAAATGTCATATCATTGCGTTGTGAAAAATTGTTCAAATGGACGCTATAGACTTATGAAATGGAAATATGAAATATGCACTGAACATAAATGTAGAAAAATAGATATTGGATGTAATTGTGCATCGCCTTTTCATTTATTTTCTTTTCCAACTATCAAAAATCTCCCTCCCAATGTGAAATTTGGATCAAACTAATTAACCGCTTAAACACTACTGGGACAAATGATTTTTTCTGCCCAAAGAAATATGCATGAGTTTGTTCTAATTATTTTAAAGATAAAGAGCCTAATATAAAAAATGCTTATCCCACTGACAACCTTGGATATGATTCTAGGCATAAAGTTGCTCTTTTGTGCCCTAGCTCTCGACCTCTAAATAGAAACAGTATAATAAATACTAACTTCACACAGCCTTTACTTAAAAAATACAAATTAAATGTAAAGTCTAATACATACTTTAATACAATAGTTGATCAAAATCAAGACACAACTTCTGTTAAACAGTTATGTTCTAGTTCCTTGTTAGTTAGTGTCAACTTCGCTACAAAAAACCCTGTTGAGTTAATGATTGAACCAATAGCAGTGGTAGTAGTAGATAAAGAAGAAAATAATATTAATTCACTTTTTAATCATAATGAGTTAACTCAAGCTCAAGAATCAACTTTTTTAATAAGTAGCTTAAAAAAAACTATTGACAAATTACAAAAATTAAATCACTATCTTCTTTTTCAAAACAAAAAATTACAAATTATAATTAAAAACAAAGTCAAAAATAATCTTCAAAAAAAGTCTACAAAAAACTATTAACAAATGACAAGAAGTGTAACTTTTACACAAACATTCCTTCCCTAAAAGTTTTTCACATTCTTCACGACCTTATAAAAATTGTGCATCTTCGATTTAATTACAAAACTGAAATGAAATGTTCTCCTAAAAAAAACCCTAATAAAATGACACCAAAAAAACTTGGAAGATGCAGAAAATTATGTTCACAAGATGAGTTTTTACTTGTTCTTGTGAAATTTAGTGTTTCTCTTGGCACTGTTTCAAAAATATTTAAATTGTGGATTAGATGCATGTCAAAGTATTTAAAATCATTCGTTTACTTTCCAGACAAAGAAAATGTTCGCTTGAACCCTCCTGATCGTTTTAAAAATAATCAAAGTCTGTTAAGAATATTTGATTGCTCTGAAATTTTTATTGAAACACCAAAAGATTTAGAACTGCAATCTGCAATATGGTCTGAGTACAAGCACCACAATATAATGAAGTTCCTTGTATCAGTTACTTTATCAAATTTTGTTTCGGAAGCATATACTGGAAGAACATCAGATAAAGCAATAACATTGGATTGTGACTATCTTACAAAATTCCCTCCTTATTCTTCAATCATGGCTTATAAAGGTTTTAATATTGCTAGTGAGTGTGCTGTTTATAGGATTACCTTTATTACCCCACCTGGAAAACGAAGAACTTCTCAAATGACACCTGAAGAAGTAGTAAAAAGGAGTAATATTGCTAAACTCAGAATTCTTATTGAACAGATAATTAGGAGAAAGAAAAACTTTTTGAATAATTGCACAAGAATTTCCTATATCACTTCTTGATAATCTTAATGACATTATCATGATTTGTGCAGCTCTTTCCAATTTTAATCAAGAAATAATACTTTATCGATGCTCTAAAACAAAAATTTGTTAGTCCAAGTATAAATATATATATATATATATACATATATGTATACATATATGTATAGTATATATATATAATATATATATATACATACATATATATATAATATATATATATATATATATATATATATATATATATATATATATATATATATATATATATATATATATATATATATATACATATACAGCGTGTAAAATAAGAAATCGAAAGCGAGCGATCAATTTGACCAGCTTACCCTTGGAATTGGCGATCAACTGTTTTTTTTGGTAAGTCAACATTTTTATTATTTTTTTGTTTTCATTTTAATCTTCATAACAGTTCTTCATAACTGAACTTTATAAATACAAAAATAACTTAATATTTGATAGTTAACAAATTAGTATTCCTTTTTTAAACTTGCAAATAACTAACATTAAAATTGCACTCCAAATAGTTTAAAATTAAGCGCACAGATTCTTATTTTATTTCTTAAAGGAAGTTTGATAAACTTTTTCAAAACTTTAATGATTATATGATAATTTAGTACATGCTTTTTCCAAATAATAATCTGATTACTTTTAAAATCATGTTTTTCAAAACTCTGATTATTTGAACCAGTCAACCATGACTGGCAAGAAATCATTTTGGGAGGTCAAAATAGCAATTTTACTCATTTTGGGCAGTTGTTGACCATTGACCGGCCGTTATTTTACACACTGTATATATATATATATATATATATATATATATATATATATATATATATATATATATATATATATATATATATATATATATATATATATATGTTATATAAATTATATACATATATATATATATATATATATATATATATATATATATATATATATATATATATATATATATATATATATATATATATATATGTATATATATGTGTGTATGTGTGTGTGTGTGTATATATATATATATATTCTACTAGGCATCCTTCTTCATAAGCAGCAAAAGCTCTAAAATATATATATATATATATATATATATATATATATATATATATATATATATATATATATATATATATATATATATATATATATTGATATTTAATTATGTAAATATGTTTGGATTTTTGATCACAATCAGTAAAGTAGAATATAGAATAGTTTTTGATCAGGTGTAACAATTTTTTTTCAAGTTAATCTTAATAAATCCATAAATTTTTTCTGATTTTGTAAACCTTTTCTTGATTGCTCAAGGTGATAATGCACGTAAACATCCTTTTGAAGCTTTTTTTTAAATTGAACATTTTATCAATGTAACATTTAATTGACTTTCTCGATATCTTAAACTTTTCTAGATTACTCAGAAACAATTGGTGGTTTGTCTTTTTATTAACAAGTTTTTCATCTGAAATAAAAGCTTTTATTTTTGAGAATGTTTTAATAACAATGATGAGAATTCTTAAAGGTAAACTAATTTTTTTAATTTTAGATTTGTTTTGATGATGTTTGATGAAAAAGCTAACATAAATTTAGCTTTAATAGTAAATGCCAATGTTCAACTTTTTTGCCATTTAAATCATCTTTCCTTTTCTTTTTGGTGGTTATTAAAACTTTGATTGATTCCTTTTCTAAAAATTTCTTAATCAATCTATACAAATATCCAAGTTGTACCAAACATTAATACTTTCTTTACATTTTTTTTTGCTTTTTTTTTTGTCAAAATGCTTTGTTTACATAAATCTTTTATTTTTTGCTAACTAATTTAAATATGTGATTAAATTATAAATAATTTCGTTAAATATTGTTTAAACAAAAAGTAATCAAGTTTCAAAAGTGTTTCCGTTTCAATGCCACAAGAGTGTGTATGAATTAATTAATACAATGTCTATTATAAAATATTTATATCATTTTTGTGTTCATATTTGTTTATATTTAGATAAAAAAGCACTCAAAGGTGTAAGAGTTTAAAAGTTAGTTATGAGAATTATAGTTAATCATTAAGTTCATTATTTATATTTAGAATAAAAAGAAAATAAAAATAAAGGCAACTCAGCTGCCGGAAACTATCCGGCAGCTGAGTTGCCTTTCCGTTGTCTAACGGTATAATTTTAACGGAAGTATCGCTTATTTAGGTAAAAGTTCCGGCAGTTGCCGATGACCAAACTACCGGAAAAACCCATTGCATTTTAACGGAAAAAATCCGTTTGTTAACGGAAACTTCCGTTTACATACGATGGGTTTTTCCGTAAAATAACGGGTAGTTTGGTCATCGGCAGCTGCCGGTACTTTTCCGTAAAAAACGCGCTATTTTTTTTAACAGTGTAGATATAGAGAACTTTTTTTAGAAATTTACAATTGTGCCCCCCCCCCACACACACACACACATAGACAAATCCACTTTGAAATCTGTGTCGTTGCCATGTTCTGTTATTCAACAATCAATAATGCGACATTTTGGACATTATTCTTTTTTTATTATAATCTTTTTATAATCTTTTCTTTTCTTTCACTTGATATGAACTCTTCCTCAAGTTACTTTGTTATCCTTCAACCACTCGCAACTTTTCTTTTTAGTAAAAGTTAGTCACTAAATTGCTTGCGGGTTTATTTATTTAAATAGAATCTTTTTTACTAATAATTTTTTTTTTTAAATCGGCAAGATTGCTTGTAGGTTTGTATTTTAGTTTTTTAATTTTTTTAATAATTTTTTTTAGTTTTGTATTTCATATGAAAAATTTGTTAAGACTAAAAAGTAGAAAATAAAAAATATAGCAAAAAAATTTGCTAAAAACTATAATCTTTTTTGAACTAAAAAGTAAAAAATAAACTTTTTGATTAAAATTTAATAGTTCAGTAAACTAAAGATTGACAGGTATGTTTCTAAATAAATCTTGTGCAGACCTGTCAATCTTTAGTTTACTGAACTATTAAATTTTAATCAAAAAGTTTATTTTTTACTTTTTAGTTCAAAAAAGATTATAGTTTTTAGCAAATTTTTTTGCTATATTTTTTATTTTTACACTTTCGGCAATTAACTTTACGAAAATAAAAATTTGCGACAAGCAAAATATTTGCGACATTATTTCGCAACACAATTTTTTTTTTTTTTGCCTTTGATTATCCAAAAATAAATTCGCTTAATTTAAATAATGCTTAGTGGGTTAGATCTCAAAAAAGAAAAAAAAGTTTTGAAACAATAATTTTGGGCTATGAGGTTGGCTTCAGTGATGTAGGAACTTTTTTAATGCAGGCTGTGCAGAAGATCAGCTGTTCATTTCGTGCGCTATATTGCAGGTTGAACGCGTTAGTTCTTTGTATGTCGTGCTTGCAACCATTAAACCTCAAAGATTGTATTTTCTTCAAAGATAAATAAATTTATTGTGTGCACGTAAAACAATTATTTCCAATACGGAAGTCATTTCATTAGGTATGTACAAATTAAAAAAATAAAAAAATATTTTTATTAAATCATTAATTATAAATGTATTTTTTATATTAATTTTATATAGAAACATTCTTTATAAAATTTTAAAATTTGCTTTAAAAATAAAGTTAAGTTACGAACTCCAGGACATTCCACTTTAATTTACACTGTGTTCGCACGTATATAGTTTTACTTTTGTAATTTAAAATTCGGAGTGTCTATTCGTTCGTTTTTCACGAGCGAATAGACTATATTTAATTATAGTCTATTAGTACGTTTAATTAAAAAAGTGTGAAGATCATCGAATTTAAATTTAAAAATAAAAATAATAATAAGTCTAAAAAATTAGACTTATTATTATTGGTTTTTAACTTTAAAATTAAACTAGCGCAGTGGTATACTAACGCAGTACTTACAATGGCTGACTTTTTAAGGATATGCGCACCGTAATGTATATACATAATGACTGCTTATCTTGGGATAGACACAGTGTAGTATAAATACAACGACGAGGGTTTTGGCTTGGGCAGGCAATTTTTTAAATAAAAATAAGAAGTATTTTTTAATGTTTATTTTACTTATTGCCACGTTTTTGTTTGTTAAAGTAAAAATTAAGTTATGTTAAAGTAACTTTATTTATTTTCATTACAATTGATTAAAAAAATTAAATTGCTTTCAAAATATATGACTTAAGTTATAAACAATTTTTGTTCGTGAGAGGTTTCATTTATATTTTGAACTTTTTGTTCTTTTTTTTCATGTTTTATATTTTGAACTGCTTGGTTCTTTTTTTTCTTGTTTTATATTTTGAACTGTTTGGTTCTTTTTTTTCTTGTTTTATATTTTGAACTTTTTGGTTCTTTCTTTATGACATTAAGACATCATTAAGAAACATTTTTCATTAAAAAAGTTATTAACTTCATAATTAAATTTTAAAAAAATTACATATAAATCAAAACACAAACATGGTGCATACTCTGTGCAGATATTTTTTAACGCTCTTAAGTATTTAATAAACGAATAAATAAATAAATAGATAAACAATGCATAAATTATTAATTAAAATAAAAATTAAGTTTATATTGTAATAAAAGTTCATTAGAAATATTGTTACTATACTAAACTGTGGCTAATTTAGCTTTTGTAATAACATGATTAATTGCCTGCTTTAGATGGCTCATTTGTTTGTACAAAGCTACCCATGGTATTACATGCCACAAAGTTTGCACCAGATATTACTACACTGACACAAGGTTATAAGAATTATTAATGACCTAAATCTTTACCTAAAATTAGTTACCTAAATATCTAATAGTTATCTAATATTCAATATAGTATCTAATATTCAATAGTTATTTGAAATAAGACAGTTGAAAATCCGATAAAAATTTTTTCAAAAATCCAAATCTCTGCGTGGAATAACTAAGGAAAGTATCTGGTTGTGAAGCAATATAGCTATCCATAGCAACTAAATAAAAAAATTATGACTTGTATATAAAGTACAATCTTGTATACCAAGTTTAGTGAATACTTGTAAAAAAAACAAGTGCAACCATCAAAATAGTTTGTTGTTTTGCAAATAAGGTATTCATAAAACCAGGTTGGATACCAAACTTTATGGATACCTAATTTGCATAGCAACAGCCTATTTTGATAGTTGATATTTTTATTTGGTTGCTATTGGCTTAATGGCAATTAAATAAAAAATATCCCTTTCATAAGAACAGTAAACTTCATATTAATGCACAAATTAATTTTAATGTATATAGCACACAAAATATCTGCAACTACCAAAAAGAGCAGCCGTGGCGCAGTGGTTAGAGTTCTGGCTCAGAATACAGAGGTCCGAGGTTCGATGCCAGCTCTAGCCCAACAAGCGACATTAGTACAGAAGGAGGCGTAAACTTCCTGTTAAATGCTTTCCCGCGGTGCTCTATGATTAGACCGTAAGGACTTCTGGTAGCACCTAAATAGATACAAAAAAAAAAAAAAAAAAAATAGGTTGTTGCTACGCAAATTTAGATATCCATAGCATCAAAATATAAAAATATCACTTTCATAAAAAGCGTAGACCTCATATTAGTACTCATGCCAAATTTAGTAAATAAAAACGTAATAATAATATAGCTATTAATTGTGTACATTACAAGTGAATTCTGGCCCACTGTACAACGTTGTAATAACGTTGGCTACACTAACGTATTTTTTTATTGGAGTTACAATGTAATAATAACTTTACTTATATTATTTTTAATGAATATTCAACTTTTTTTTTGACGAGGATTTTGTCTATAATTCGGCAAGGTAAATACTTATGTGATTAAAAGTATATATATACTTTTTCTTGAAATATCAAAATTTTAACACCGCGTCTGTGAAAAAAAAAAAAAAAAAAACATATTTCAAAAGAATGTTTTTAGATTCTTGCAAATATTAAATGAATTTCAAAATTCTAATTTTTTTCTGCCGAACATTAAGAAAATTGATCAGTCTAAATTACAAGTTGCTAATACGTTTAAAATACTTTTTTCCATATCTCAAAATTTGTTTAGTATGTTATAATTAACAGCAGTTTTTTTATTCTTTTCTGATTTATAAAAAAAAAATGCAAGTTTGAAGAAATATTTTGAGTAATGGTCAATCAGGAAATGATAATCTCCGTTTTCGTCGTCAGGCAACGATAAACTTCTTCGTCTTCAAAAAATAGTTTCAACAAAATGGAGTAATAAAAAAAAGCACTAAAAAAAATTTTTCACGGTCGAAAATTTTGATTATAGTAATCATCATTTCAAACATTTAGCTGTAGCGCTTCATTTTTTTCACAAAAATCTGCTACCTTAAATGTAATGTTTTGTCTTTATATTTATTATAAAGAGAATTCGACTATGATTTTTTATTTAATATTTATTTCAATATTTTCATATTAAATTATCATAACTAGTTTAAATATAAAACTCTGTATAGTTTCGCGTCGAAACTTCAACTGTAATTTAATTCAGTGCACTGGCTTTTAAGCAAGAATTCCTCGTGCGGAATTCTTTCAAGGGAATACTTTCGTTATAAATTTTTGTGCAATTCGCAAAGGAGAATTGCTTGTTTTGCAATCGCTGATTGCTATTCTAAATTGTTTTGTGTAACAATCATTACACCTTCCTTCTTTTAAAAATGCTTCTTTCTTTTAAAAATTTTCGAAATTCTTCCTGATCGCGTGACAATGTCATGGTCTAATGATTGATTTTGATTTGCATTTGTATCAATGTTTGTGTTATTCGACAGTTTTCTTTTACCAATGAATATGTCTTTTGATTCATTCATATCGCTTTCATTGTTGGATAAATTGACATCCCAATCTACTTCTTCTTTTGTTTTTAGTAGATGTCTTCTGTTTCTTCTAACAATATTTCCATTTAAGGTTTTTACATTGAAACTTCGTTGCTGTTTGCTCTCAACAATTTTTCCTGGTTGCCATTTATTTCCATCATGTAAACGAACACAGTCTCCATCGCTTACGTTTTCCAATGTTTATGCGTTTTTGTCATAATATTTCTTCTGTAAGCTTTGAACTTTTTCATATTTCTTCTTAAAATCATTTATATCGATTGGATTTACTTGAAGTAGTGACAGAAAAGTAGAAAGTGTTGATCTCAATCTTCTTCCACTTATGAGCTGAGCAGGTGACGCAAGACCGTCAACAGGAGTGTTTTTTATTTCTAGTAGAGCTATGTACATATCTTGATTTGGTCTTTTTGCTTTGTTTAGCAAGTTTTTTGCTATTTGCACGTGTCTCTCTGTTCATCAGAAGAAAACCTCGAAGAAATAAAAACAAACACGCTCAAAGATATTACGTTAAATGTAGTAGCAAACTACATAACAAATGGATGGCCGCAGGATAAAAGAAAGGTTGAAGACTCAGTAAAACCCTATTGGTCGTTTAAAGAGGAACCATTCCATTTGATTGTTGATACTGAGAGCTACAAGTTATATGTTTAAACTCTCACTCTTTACTGAACTTTTGGAATTCTGAAGATGTGAATTGTGTGCCGTTGTCGCTCCGTACTATCTGCGGTATACCAAGTCTGGAGAAGATTATTTTTAGTTTATTCCATTCCATTTGATTGTTGATACTGAGAGCTACTAGTTATATGTTTAAACTCCCACTCTTTACTGAACTTTTGGAATTCTGAAGATGTGAATTGTGTGCCGTTGTCGCTCCGTACTATCTGCGGTATACCAAGTCTGGAGAAGATCATTTTTAGTTTCTTTATCACCGTTTGAGATTGAATGTTATGTAACCTTTCGATTTTCCAATAACGACTATAATAGTCGACCACTATTATAAAATCCTGATTATTCCAGTGAAATAAGTCCGTTCCCACAATTTGAAACGGGTGATTTGGTATTTCGCTTGATATCATTAACTCCTTAGTTTGTTTTTTTGTGTATTCCAGACATGTTTCACACGACTTTACTAAATCTTCAATTTGTTTGTTAATACCTGGCCAAAATACAGTTTCTCTTGCTCTCATTTTAGTTTTTTCAATCCCCATGTGTGCTAGATGTAGTTTTTGAATTGTTGCTTTTCGCATTGATGTTGGAATTAAAATTCTTTGTCCTTTGAAAATTATTCCTTCTATGAGTGTCAGTTCCTCTTTAAACGACCAATAGGGTTTTACTGAGTCTTCAACCTTTCTTTTATCCTGCGGCCATCCATTTGTTATGTAGTTTGCTACTACATTTAACGTAATATCTTTGAGCGTGTTTGTTTTTATTTCTTCGAGGTTTTCTTCTGATGAACAGTTTGCGTAAACCATATGCACTTCAGTGATCATTTCATCTTCATTGGAATGAGCTCTAGATAACGTATCTGCCAGAATCATTTCTTTACCAGCTTTATAAATTAAATCAATATCATATTTTTGTAATCTTAATAACATTTTCTCAAGACGCAGAGGAGTGTTTGCTAACGACTTCTTCATAATATTTTCCAACGGTTTATGATCACTGTTAACAGTTACTTTTTTTCCATATATTGATGAAATCGCTCACACCCAAAAAGTACTGCGAGAAGTTCTTTTTCAATGATTGCATAATTTAATTGAGCTGGTGTCATTGACCTTGATGCAAATGCAATTGGTTTTTTTATTTTGAAGAAGTACTGCTCCAAAACCAGTTTTGCATGCGTCTACTTGTATCGTTACAGGTTTTTGAATATCATAGAATGCAAGGCATTGTTCCGAACATAGCAGCTTTTTAATTTTTCTGAAGGATGATCTTGTGCTTCTCCCCATTGCATGTGTGTTCCTTTTTTAATTAGATTTCGAAATGGTTCCGTTGTTTCTGATAATTTAGGTAGGAATTTACCAACATAGTTTACCATACCTAGAAATCTTTGAACTCCTTTTTTATCTTCAGGTTTTGGCATTTTATTAATAGCTTTAATTTTTGATTTATCTGGTTGTACTCCGTTTATTGATAATTTGTGTTCTAAGTATATCAACTCTTGTGTTCAAAATCGGCATTTTTCTGTAACAATCATTACATTAAATAACTAAGACAAAAAACTTTTTTTCTTAGTTATTTAAGGTAACAGATCCCCTCAAAAATCGAAAAAAATAATTTAATATGAAAACAGTTTCTTATACTTTAAATAAGTTTTTTAAATAATTATGTTTTAGTCGACAATAGTTTTTCAGGTTTTCTTTGTTACCGTTATAGCAACGGGTTTGATAGTTGGTTTTTTAATTTTTAAGTCAGCTTTTTAAAGGAAACTTGAATCTTAAAGCATCTTGTTTGCTTGATGTTGGTACCAGTGCTCAAAACAAGAAATTTAGGATAAACTCCACAGCTTGAACATTACAAATCAGAATCACATTTTTGACTACATTTGAATGCTTCTAAATGTCACTTTTACAACAAATTTGTTTGCATCACAAACAAATTTGTTGTAAAAGTGAACACAAGTTTAAAACACACAAGTTTAAAGGAAATCAGCACACATGCAATGATAAACAAAAAAAATAGTTTACCCTCATCACCAATTGCCAGTTATACACATACAAAGAAGTTATTTTCGATAATGAAAACTACTTAAAATGTTGAGTGTATCAATGAAAATTACAAGAACAATTATAACTTTATAATGAACTATTCTATATTAAAAAGAATATTGAATAAGTATATTTATTGTCCTAAATGTGTAAATAAAATTGTTTCCCAAAATAACATTAGAATAAAAAGAGGTTTTACTTACAACTTAAAACTTTTTGTAAAAACTGTGATGAAATTACAGACACATTTAAAACTTCAGTAATAAATAAAAGAAGTTCAGAAATTAATACACAAATTGTTTTTGCTTTTCAAGAAATAGGAAAAGGATATACTTCTATTAATCATTTATCGATGCAAACCATTTAAAATCATTTAACGCTACTAGATAGGAAAACGGTACAGAATTTTTCAAAGAAATATGGAAACATAAAAATGTAAGTATTATGCCGTTAATCAAGTGGAACATAATTAAAAAGTGTCAATCATATAATCCATCAACTAAAAGATGTAATCTTTGTCTATATGAAAAATATTTAATTATGACTTATGATCAAGGATCATTACTTAATAAAAAAATTGAGTTGGTTTTTTCTTGCAGGCATAGAAAAGAATTTCTGTTTTCACAATTCGATACCGGAGATTAGAAACTCATGACATCGTCTGACGTAAACTTGACGTCAGATACCGTTGCAACTGTATTTTTTAACGCAGACCACATAATCCACTTTTCTCCCGGATTGGACTCACCAAACAGTTCTCGGCACTATATGCATGCTGATTTTTGCTCGCTATTATTGGTTAATGATGACTTTTTACGGTTTTTAGGTTTTTTTGTCTCGCGTTTCCTTTTAATAACCTTATCTTTTACAGAATAAACTTTTTTTAGTGTAATTTTTGTAAGTATTTTCTTTTCTAGCACTTTCTTTGCAGTTTTTGTCCGTATTTTCTTTTCTTTTGCTACTTTGTTTATGGCAATCTTATCTTTCTCCGGTGTATCTGTTAAAATGCGAGTCCTTCCTTTTTTGGGGTCAATCTTTTTTGAAACTAGTGGTGTTGAAACGTTCAATATTGGCCAAACGCTTTCAAATTCTTTAAAAATTACTTGTGGGGTTTTTGCTACATCAGCAGGTGCAATTTTGACAAGTCCTGGAGTAAATGGTCCGATATACTCAGTATTATCTGGTTCTACATCTGAATAAAGGCAAAATATCACAATGAAAATTTATATAAAAAATCAGAAATATTGTTATTATAATTATTACCAGTAGCCAAGACAGGAATTTTTTGACTGATATAGCTAAAGTAGGCATATATTTAAAATATATGCCATCAAAAGTTAATGATATAAAATTTAATAGTTAAAATGATATAAAATTTTGCGATTAAATGGACAGATTCCGCTGACTTTAAATCCTGTATATATGCTTTTTACAGTCATTGCATTTTTTACAGGAAAACGTTCACAGCTTGGAAATTGCGTACACAGCTTGGAAAGTCATAAATAGACATTATTTTTCCTTTATTTGCATTCATCCATGTGTTACATGCAGTGTTAAAGAGTTTTTTAAAAGGAAAGTAGACAGATCTATCTAATGGCTGCAGCTTGTGTGAGCAGTGAGGCGTAAAGGACAAAATAACAACTCCATTGGCCTTCGCCAAATCCAAAACTTCTAGGTTAATGTGCGATTCATGATTTCAAGTAGCAATAAAGCTGGTCGCTGTGGGGTGCATTTTACGTGAGTTAGAAAGTTCTTCATAAACAGCAAAAAAACTCTGTTCATTCATCCATCCGGATGGATTCGCAGTTCCAATGCACCCTGTTGGACCATCACGAACAAAATGGTTACAAAAACTTACTACAGGAAAATTAAGCATTGGTGGAATAGTATTCTCAGAAGCGCTCACAGCACAACATATTGTCACTAACTTTCCTCTCTCGGCCGATGTGACAGCTCCAATTTACTTGACTCCCTTTCTGGCAACAATATTTTGTGGCTTTTGTACAGTTGTACAACCTGTCTCATCCACATTCTAAATATTTGTTGCGGTAAAGATGTGTTTTGTCAGTACCGAATTCAGATTGTCAAAAAATAAATTCACATTATACCTGTTAAAGCTGGTGGCACGACTCAGCGATGTAGCTTCAGGCGTTCTTATGGCTTCGGGCGTTCTTATTGCTCTGGTTTTCTTTTTAGAAACGAAGAAACCCATTCTGCACCAGCACGCTCGTTTTTTTCCCATGAAAGAGGAATTTTGCATTTAGGTTTTTTCGCGTAATTGTAAACTTTTGTACTTCTGCAGGAGTGAGGCCATAGTATATACGTGAAGCCTCTAATATGTACCTCGTAAGCACATTCTTTTCTTCCATAGTAAAAAAATTTCTGTTGTTGTGGTACCCCACAGTTAAATTGGTTGGGGTGCTGATATCGCTTTGCCTTTAATGCAGCATCTTTTGAGTGTCACGTAAGGAATGCTGTAGTCTGTTGCAACTCCTCGGCATTTCTCTTCATTTTTAACGACTCTTTTTCTATGGAAGAAAAACAGCAAGCATCGTATTGCTTGATGTCATACTTTTTGATGATGTCTTTTATTTGTGATAACGTATTCTAAAAATAATTTATTAATCCCGATAACTCTTTCACTACTGCAGTTTTACAAAAATTCTAATAACCGTAACCGCAAATAGTTTTCAAGAAAAATTAGAATCGTATATTGAAAAAATGATTTAAATTTAAACAACAAACCTCTTTGAAAAGCTAAATAAAAGAAATTTTAAAATGTTTAAGTTTTAAACGCTCAACATTTTAAACATATATTTGTAAAGAGTTGAAATCTATTGTTTTTAAGAATTCAATTGATATTAAAAAGCTGCAACCAACGGCTTGTGTTCAAAATAATAAAGAACAAGCTGCTGTCAACGACTTGCGGTAGCAAGATTTAAATAAATGAAAACACATGCTAAATAATAAGATCCTTTATTTAAACTCTAAAATAATAAATCTAGAATTATGTAATCGCAAAAACTTTGGATCCATCATAATTATTTTTGAAAATATTCTAATTTTCGCTTAAGGTGTTTATAATATCTTAATCTACCCTAAATCAAATTACAAAGCTAAATAAATCTTTCATCAGCAATAAACGCAATTTTAAAACCTTTCAAGACTTGAGCAGAGAAGAATTATTATCTAAATGTTTGCCTGGAAAGACTCAAAATAATAATGAAATAATTAACAACTTCTTTTGGAAAAAATGTCCCCAAGATGTTTATGTATGTCAAAAATATTCATGAAATAGCTGTACCATAAGCTGTTTTAGAGTTTAATGATGGAGCTAATGGGATATATAAAGTTTTTTAAAACTGTAGGTAATAACAGGTCAATTTTTGGACATAAGGGATCATAAAAAAAACTCAACTTGATTAGGTTAACCTAATATAATATAAGTATAACATAAAAAAAAAAAAAAAAAAAAAAAAAAAGTCTTCAACAGCATGTATCAGCAGAAGAAAGTTGCTAATAGATATGAAAAAAGGGTTTATAGATAAAGAAAATGAAGAAGGAACATATTCTGCTGGTGGTTTTAGAATAATAACAAATTTATTAGGTTTTAATTGCAAATTCTTTAAGAGCATTTTTCTTGTGTTTTATTTTTTTTATACTTTGTGACATAAAACGCGTTTTCTTAACATTAAATAAAAATTTTGAAATTTTAAGGAAATTTCCTTTGTTGTGTTGCCTGGGGTTTCTGACTAAAAGTTTATTTTTCATTTTAAGAATAATTTTTTTTTGGGGTACTTTATTTTACTATTTTTTGAGCAGGAGTCAAATCTCGGATTTCTCTTCAAAACGAATCAAATCTCGGACTTCATTTTTAAGGTTCATTTTTAACCGCTGAAAGCATTGTTTGTTTTATCGGTATATGTGCTTAATAATAAGATCAGGTAGTTTGTTAATTGGGTCTGGGTATAACGGGCCTGGATATTATAAAACCCACAACTGACCATGAATAAGCTACAACTAAAGACAATAACAACATGCTACGAGATCTTACAAAGAACATCTAATTAGAAATGAAACTACCAAAACTGTTTTGTACTTGCTCAAAGAGAAATTTATTAGGCCGGGTGAATAAAAATGAGCAATCGCTTTTACTCATAATTGGTCAGCTTTACGTGAATAAAAACTGAAGTTTTATTTAGATGTTTTAAATTAGATGTTCTTTGTAAGATCTCGTAGCATGTTGTTATTGTCTTAGCTCCAATTTTTAATTACGTAAAGTTAAGCAATTAACTCAGTAATTGTTCAGTTTTACGTAAATAAAAAACTATAGCAAAGTTGCTAAAGTTTTTATTCACGTAAAGCTGACCAATTACTGAGTAAAAGCGATTGCTTATTTTTATTCACCCGGCCTATTTTTTCTGGCGTACCAATTAAAAAAAAAAATAATATCAAATTAATTTGTTTAGATGTAAATAGCTGTTACTGTACAATTCAAACTTTTTTCAACTTCGCAAATGCAACTATTTGGGTAAAATTGGATTTGAAAAAAAATATAATTAATAAAGTGCTTATTATTATTTTTTTTTTTACTGTTTTGTTTACGTGAAGTTAATGCATAGAAGCATAAGTACAAATGTATTTATTTTTTATAAGTTTTAGATAGTTGTTGTTGAAGTTATGAAATAGTAAATAATGAGATATGTATTACAAAATAAACGTTATAGCTATTACTGGAAACCGACGTTCATTAAAGTATCATTATTTAAAAAATGTGCAGGAAAAAAAACCAGTTAAAGAACCAATGCTAACTACAATGAGTATCATACATATAATACAATAAAATTGTTACTTTTACGTTTAAGATATAATATATAAATAAAATAATAGTCGTAAAGTAAACAAGTTAACGTTAAAGTGCAATTTAATAAAATAAAAATTTAAAAATATTCTGTAATTTAAGTAAAAAAGAAAATTCTTGTAAATCAAACAAAAATAAAGAAGAAAAAAAAAAGGTTACAATTTAAAAATAAAAGTAAAAATTCTTCAGAAAAGCTACACGTCAAAAGCAGAAAGTTTAATTTGAACAAAACCATGCTTTAAAAATAAGAAAAAACTGTATCATCAAATAGCATTATTAACACGGTGTAGTCTACAATCAACATAAATATATAAATACAGATTTAATTTTATATATATATATATATATATATATATATATATATATATATATATATATATATATATATATATATATATATATATATATATATATATATATATATAAAAAGAATTACAACAAGTGAAGAATCATTTAACAAACGCCTTATCCCCAGATGCTTGAAAAGCAACTGTAAAAAAAAAAAAGAAAAAAAAGAAAATTCCTTATTCTTTGCATCCCTCCCTAAAAATTTGCATTTTCCCCAATACGTTTTCTCAAAAAATAAAAAAAATTTAATTCAGCTACAATACCACCGTAAAAATAAAGTTACATTTACAAATAGTAATTCTCTAATATAAAATATTTACAAAATAACTATATAATTAAAAAAAATTGAAAATATTTTTCAAAGAATTTTTTTCTCTGTGCAAAGTGTAAAATATTTATATGACTATTTTTCTTGTTAACCAAGGTAACCAAGGTAATAAGTAATTATTTTTAAAAAAGTTTTGTTTTGTAAAAAAACATCTACATGCAGCAACTTTATCATGACAGGATTTAATAATGAAAAAATGAAGACACCTGCATGATAATCAAACTGAAATAAAAATTTGGTCAATAGGAGCTGATAAACTCTACTTTAACGACTAGGAACAATTAATTTCCGATAACTACTTTTTGAAAAATAATGAAATTAGCTAGCATCATGTAAGTCATCGTATTGTAAGTCATTACTAAATTTGTTCTTTTCTTAATTAAAAGTTTTGTTTTATGCTATCTTTATTTCGCATTTTTAGGCGTATATCTCTATCCACTTTTGTCCTTTAATTCTTAAACAATAAGTTGTTTAACAAATGTCATGTTTATTTATATTATACACACACTTCTTTGTCATATTTGAAATTCCGTGGAAATTTATAGGTTTCTGCGTTCATTGGAGTATAACCATCACCGTAGCTAGGAAGTGGTGGTAATGCGGAGTCAGTCATATCCTCTTCTTCTGCAAGCAATCTGAATAAAGAATAAGCAATAAAAAAACAAACAAACGCAACAATAAAAGAAAAAAATACTTTTAATAAAATTATACTACAGCCGTTTTTAAAAATGCTTTAAGATAAAAAAAAAAAAAAAAAATTAACTTTTTTACAAAATATGCCAATTTAGATGCCTACAAACGTTATTAAATGTTTTTTAAGAATTAATAAAAAAACACATAAAAATTATTAGTATCAAAAACATTTTACCAACAGTTTCTCCTATTAATTTTATTTTAATTGCATTTTTCTGATCATACCACCCCGTCCCCCTACCCACAGTTGGAGCTTTTTGCTAAAAAATAAAATTTCATATTTCTTAATTTTATTGATAAAAAATTAAATAATTATCCCTTTAGATAGCAGATTGTATTTATTTTTGATATAATAATGTACATTATTTACTTAAATAACATTTTTTCTTAACACAGTGTAGATAAATAAAGAACATTTTCAGTGAAACTCAGTATCTCAAAGATACTGAACTTGTCATTGTTATAAAAAATTTGTATGGAAAAAAACTTATATGGAATATTAAATTATTAAAAACAAAAAAACAAAATAAAACTTTTTCTAATTTCATCATCAGAATGCTAAACTTTTACTTGTGAATTGTGGTCAAGCTCATAAGTTTCAGCCTGAAACCTTTACTTGTTGTAACTTGTGAGTTTTATTTGTTGTAACTTGTGATTAAGTTCACAAGTTACAACATGAAACTTTTATTTGTTGAAAACAAATAAAAGTTTCATGTTGTATAAATAAAAGTATAAATAAAACAACAATATTGATAAAAACATTTAATAAATAAAAATTTTTACAACAAATTTTATGCTAAAAATATATTCCTTATAAAATTTTATCTTTACAAGTCACAACAAATAAAAGTTACAACTGAAACTTTTATTTGTTGTGACTTGTGAGCAAAGGCAAAATGAGTTCAAAACTCATTTTAAACAGACCAAATTATCAGCAGGTATCAGATTGTTACTTTATTTGTTTTTCCAAGTACTCATTCAACTAAACTACTCTGACCATAGTTCAGACCCGTAAAAGTGTTAGAATTACCACTTAACTGTAACAAATATGAATGCTTCTTATAATTTATTGAAATAACAATTTTTATTTGATGCTCTGTGTATGTTGAAATATTACACTTGCATATTAAAATAATACCCATTCTCAAATTAATTTCAAGATCAAATCATTCAGCTAAAGAGGGTAAAGAGTTTTTTAGGACTCAACAGATGGACCTCATCCAGGCTATAAAAAAAAGTGGAACATTATTTACAGATACAGCAGCTCAACTTCTTATTCTTGAAAGTTATATTCTCTAAAAAATCAATATAGTTGTAACACCAAACAAGGAAAATCTTGAACTGCTTAGACTTAGTTTGCAAACTTTTTTGTCACATGCAGGGCCGGTGTATAAATGGTTGCATGTGAGTGCATAGAGAGACACTACAACCGCCCCTTCCCTTGCCATACCTTTATGCTGGCAAAATAAGATCTTTATTCGGAAAATTAATTTTTTAATTGGTTGGCAAGTTATGGACAACAATGAGATGGTATGGTTTTATAATTATTTTTTTTTAAAAGTTATTTATTCAAAAACATACATATAAAGACATAGATGGTGTCTCTATTAGTGCTTTTGATGTAAATTTTTGAGGACTTATAAGGAGCCCTTAGTTACAACTTTTGCTAATTAGCAGGACTGAGGTAAATGAATACATTATTGGCGTCATGGTCTATCTAAGAGTTAAGTTCTAAATCTAGGAGTCAAAGTTCTCTCTAACCTAAAACAATGTACCCAAAAATAATTTGAGTACTTTGTTTTAAAAATTATTCATTAGTTGAATCTAACCTCTTACAAAATTCACCAAACTTGCTTGCTCTTTGTGATACTAATTTGAATTTAATTGTTTTATCTTCAGATCTCAGTGTTCATGGCTATTATCTTTTGATTCACTAAGACTCCAACAGTCACATGCTTGGCTTCAAACACATGCTTGGGTTGGGCACATACTTATGCATCAATTTACCTATTAGTCAAGAAATAATTTTTAATTCTCTGACCATTCTTTAACATGCTTCTGCTTATTGACCAAGCTCTTTCTTTTTATTCCTCGTCCAATAGTGTTGTTATTGGAGACTTTAATGCTTATCACATTGAATTTTGAACTTTGTGACTCATTATTTTAACAACCCTAATCAGTCTTGTATCTGACCCTACCTTGTGTTCAGTTTTTCTTGTTCTCCTTTAGGCGGTTCCAACCATGCAGTGATCTTTATTAATTTTTATCTTTCATTTCTTCTTTGAAATTTATCACTACAACACTTTCTTACTACTTTAAAGATGACTAGGATTCTTTTTGTGATTGACAACTTGGTCTGACAACTTTTATCTCTTTGCAGATAAATGCACCCCCTACTTAATCTCCTGGATCCAGGCATAGAAGCTTATATTTCTGCTTGTTAGTTTCAAACCAAACCTCATTCTGCTCCATGGTTTTCACCTTCTTGTGCTATATCTAATCACAATCATATTTTTAACCTTTTTTTCAAGAACAAAAAGAATAAACAACATTTTATTATTACAAAAAACCTGCGTAAAACGGTGCTGTCTGACGCTAAGCTCCATTATTCTCAGTTTACTAAATCTTATCTCAGAAGTTAGGTTCTAGAAACATTTTCAAATCTTCAACAGTATCATTAATATTCCATCTCTAATTAATACGTTACAACTTTACTACTCCGAAGGATAAGGCAGAACTATTTGAAATGAATTTTTCCTCTGATTCAACTCTCAAATATAATGGCCATAAACTTCCTGCCATTCCAGTTAAACAGATTAACCCATTGTTAGACATCAAAACACTCTGAAACTTGTTGCTAAAGCCGTTTTTCAAAAACTCTTTTATGGCTTGCGGTTCAGACAACATTTCTTACAAAATTATTATCCAGAAGTCATAACAATTTTCTCTAAACTATTTAATAAGTGCTTTACTGAAGATGGCATTTGTGGTTCCAATTTTTTAAAACCTTTAGAGAACACTTTACCCTTTCAACTATTGTATCAGTCTTCGCTCTATTATAAGCAAAGCAATAATGTTCTTGATTATATCAAAAGCTTTCAATAAAGTTTGGCATATGAGGCCTGGTTAGGAATGCAATTAAAAAAACTATATGCATGGTCAAAAAAAGCATGCAACCGCATGCTATTCTTGACCATGCATATAGTATTTTGTGACAGTTTGACCATGGCTTTTTAGATGTTTTAAGAAAATTTTAAAAATGCGTAAAAAAACTTGACAAACAAGACACAATCGAAAAAAAGCTTTACTAAAAAACCAAAAGAAATCTTAACAAAAAAAAAATAAAACTCAACTAAAACAAAACAAAGCTGAAAAACTTATAACTGTACAAGAAAAATTTAATAAATTACATTAAAAATTATGTTTAGAATTAATAACGAAACTGCAACCTTTTGCAATACAATTTACGCTCTTTTGAGTAACAATTTACTTTGAATGATTGTTTAATTAGGAAACAAATGTTATTCAATTTATTATAGAGCATTATATAATTTATTTTATTTACGTACTTATGTTTTATTTCAACAAGGTTCTAGTAAAATAAATGGTAATAATAAATGTTGTTGCAACAAAATATTATACGGGTGGTCAGACGTGCGATCACACACCATTACTAACCAAGCCTGGCATGCTAGTCTTCTCCATAAGCTTGCTTAATATGGTGTATATTATGTATCTGGGAATTTTTTTGAGATTATTAAGCCATTTCTTTTTAACCGTAGTATTGAAGGCACACTTGAAGGCCATAACTCTTTTTAATTTACAGTAACTTCAGGAGTAAACAAAGGTTTTATTTATGGTCTTGCATTGTTTCTTACCTACATTTATGATCTTCCTGACAATTTTACATCTAAAGTGCTAAAAGCACTTTCCTGACAATTTTACATCTAAAGTGCTAAAGCTCTATTTGCTCTATTTAAAAAATTTTTTTTTTTGCTTAATAATATCTATTATTAATATCCAATGGCTGAAAGTGTCTTTAAAAAAGGCTGAAAGTGTCTTTAAAAATTTGTAAAATATCATTTTGAAAACTTTGAAAATTATTATTAATATCATTTTTAGAACTATAAATACCACTTTCTTTTCATGAGAAATATAATATATTTAAGATACCATAACATTGCTCACCTGTTTATTTGAACTATATTTTTAATTTAAAAAAAGGAAGGGGCATGGAGGAGGAAAAAATATGGAACACTTAAACAAGATTAAATCTAAATCCAAATTTTAATCTAAAAAATGACCATGAGACAATACCTTGAGCAGAAACTATGAGTTTAGAAAAATCGTATAAAATGTAGAACAAAATTGCTAACCTTTGATTTGGTTCTGGAACATAGTTGCGCTTTTTTGAAGAAATTTTCTCGTCCATCAAATAATCTGAAGATTTTTTACGTGGAAAGTTTGCAGGTGTTAAATAGTTATTGCCATTTGAATAATCACTATCAAGGAGATAATCACAACTCTAAAAAGAGATAAACGGAGATAATCACAAGTCTGAAAAGATATTTTTTTATTTACACAAATGCAAAACTGTTAAACAAATTTAAAAAAAGAAAAGACTTACACTTGCTACATTTTGCTTTAAAACATTGTTTAGCCTCTCAGTTATCTGTGCAAACAATGGTCTGTCATAAGGGCTCTTTTTCCAACAATCCAACATGATTTCATAAATTGCTTTAGGACAAATTTCTGGACAATCCATTCTACGTCCATCTTCCAAGAAAGAAAATAGTTCTTCAGTGGGTAAACCAGGGTAGGGTGAACCACCTAAAGTGTACACTTCCCACAAAAGAATACCATAAGACCATCTACAAAGTAAATGTATAAGACATTTATATGGAATTTTATTACATATTATTAAAATCCACCTTTTAATCTGTACAATGAACATTTTAGTAATTAAAACAGAAAAAAACATATATAATTAATAAGTATAAATAAAACAACAATATTGATAAAAACATTTAATAAATAAAAATTTTTACAACAAATTTTATGCTAAAAATATATTCCTTTTGTACTAAAGTTACATTATTCTTAAGTGTTATTGTTGATTCTGCACTAAAGTTACATTGTTCTTTAGTGCGATTGTTGATTTTGTACTAAAGTTACATTATTCTTTAGTGTTATTGTTGATTCTGTACTAAAGTTACATTGTTCTTTAGTGTGATTGTTGATTTTGTACTAAAGTTACATTGTTCTTTATTGATATTGTTGATTCTGTACTAAAGTTACATTGTTCTTTAGTGTTGTTGTAGATTCTGTACTAGTTACATTGTTCTTTAGTGTTATTGTTTATTAAAGTTACATTGTTCAAAAAATCACAAATGCTCAATCTTTTTTAGTTCATTGTAAAGACAGTTTTCAATGGTTCAGAAAGAATGTTTCAAAAAAAAAAAAAAAGTCTAAAGAAAAAGAAGTACATCAATTATATACATATCTATGAATTACAATTAACTCTAAATTAATAAAACTATTATAAATTTAAAACCAATAGCAATTCATAGATATGTACAGCAACAAGCACATTGTATTTTACTGTGCTTTTCACTAAAAACTGTTTTGCATTTGTGATGATGTTTATTGTATGTGCTTTTACAACACATACAATGAACACAGAAAAATATATTCTAGAACCATCTGAGGCAGCTACAAAAGTTACAATTAACAGCTAAAATAGCATTTATTTGTTGGTATTGCTGTCAATAAGGAACTCGTAAACCACCACTCTTATCAAGAAATTAGCTTGCCACAACATGATAAGGATTTTTTACAATTAAAATCATAAAAATAAAAAATATTTGCATTCATCAGATGTGTACATTGATTTTCTGGTAAATTGGAATGATAAAAGTACATGAGCGTTTATAATTAGTTCCTTGGACCATATAAAAATATACATGGGTTAACTAACCATACATACATGGGTTAATTTCATCATTTTCCAGCCAAAGACATAGTAACCTAACTAGTCATTTTCTGTAGTCAGCTAAATACTTAGACACAACAGTAGAGCATCAATAACAGAAAAAAAAGGACAATTAGTAAAGTAAAAACCTTTTCAGTACAGTTTTTTGCAGCAATTATCTTAAATGTTTTTAAAAAATTTAATATTTCAACTATTTTTATGTTTTAATATTCTTATATTTTTAATTTTTA